AATCAAAGCTCAGCCAGGCAAAGATTCAGGAGGATAAGATGATTGCATCCTGATAGGATGCTTGCACTTGGCTCAAGATATGATCTCAGCCAGGTCTTCCTCACCCTTCATACCCTCTTTGACCATGTTTTTCAACCTTTTCAAACCCAGAAAAAGGGGTGAACAAAATTGATTGTCCCATGGTTAATGTACGTTCCGTGACTGAGACCATTCTGACTTTGTTGTCGGAATCGTCTTATCTAGAAAAGTCCCCGGCACCAGATGAGGCTGAGGATGTTTACCCTGTGGTGTACATACATGGTAGTAGCTGAAAGTTGTCTCTCACAGTCTTCAGCTTTCTCATTGTTTAATCCCCTATTGGCAAGGCTTGTGTTCAAGCCAAGAATTTCTGCCTCTTCACCTCTCTGACTCTGGCGCGCCTCCCATGCCATTTATAGATTTGCTACTATTATGATTCATCACTGATCTCTCTAGTTATTGATATAAGATATTAAGATTCAGTTAACAAGCTATAAAATAAACCACATGTTAGCATTACGTTTGCCAATTTCCCTTGAGTACACCATTACATACATACACATTGCCTTCAAAACCTTTGATTCTGACTGTCAGACTATCTCGCCCCTTGTCACAGATCCTCAGGCTTACAAGTGAGGGTGAAGGTGAGTGATGTTGAAAGGGGTCATTGTGGTTTATGATGTGTCTGTACACACACGGGGCCAGCGGAGGACAACTCAAGGGGAATTGGCAAACCTTGATATGGCACCAATTATTGATCAGTAACACGAGCTCTACAAGATGCACTTTAGTAATCCAAAATTGGGCCCATTTGAAAAAAATTGTAATCTCAAAAATAGGTTTTCAGCTAGTTTACAAGGAAAAAATCACCTGTATTCATCATAAGAAGTTCTGTACATCATTCAACTAAGTCATTGATCACTTTTGACTGTGTAAATTACATCATACATTAGTAACAAGATCATTACATTGCGTCATCACATAGTTTTTAGGGGTTTTTGGGCGGAATTGATTTGTTTTTGAGGCTGTTGACCATTGTAGGAGTTGTTACACATCAATGTATATACTCACCAACAATTTTGGGATTGTTGTTCTCCTTTCTGCATCTTATACCGTTGTAGTGTTATAAATCATCATTTATTTACTACATTTGTACTGAGATCACTTAAATCCGCCCTTTCAACACAAGGAGAAATTTATTTATGTGTGTTAAAGACTATAGGTCTCTTTGGGAATGATATTTACAACAGTATTGAGAAACGTTCTCTGGTGCCTTTATCTTTTTCTTCGTTATCATGAAGTGGTCAGCAAGTGCCCTTGTGCTGGTTTCTTTGAAGAAGGCAGTCTTTAGGCAATTTCTTTTATCCTTACATTAGTAGATTATCCCTTCTTAGGTGTTGTAAAGCTTTTGTTGAGCTTTTAATACTACACCGGAGGATGCATTCTTGGAAGAACTGGAGTTTGACAAAATGTGGTTCAAAGAAGTTAAGACGAATGAACATGAGGATGCATTGGAAAATGAATTACAGGCGGATGAATATGTGAATCTGATACTGATGGACACAGCCTTGCACCATCCAGGAGCACCTTGGCTGCCACCAGTAATTATCTATGCCATATGGAATCAACTGCCTTCATAGAATGGGTCCATTGGTCATACATACTACTTGAATAAAGTTTCTACAGAAGGCCACACCCCTTGATCGGCAGTATAAAATTGTTCTTTTTAGTCTCCTCACTCATTCCTTGTTTTGTTTTTATTTCTTCATAAGATCCCAAATGTAATTCACATCAGCCAATTCCTCAGCTGAGTATGTTCAAAGGTATACTGGGTACGCAGTCGATTCCCACCTTCCAAATTCCACGATATCTGTGAGTGGCTGCTTATCATTCCAATTATAAGTTGTTCCACCTAGTCTGAAAGAGTGACCTTGTGGATAGATTGTAAGTGACCTTCAGAAAACATTTGAGATAGGGCCGCGATAGGACATAACAGCAAATCCAATTTTGGCAGGTGTAACCACTGAATCTCCCCGGGGTTCACCGTTTTGGCCCTGTGTAAGGTGATCTTCATGTAAGTGCAAGTTGGGTTGTTTATCAAATCTTTGTCACAAATCACCTGCTTTGATTCATTATCAGTCACTAATTCCCCAAGTCGTGCCATCCCTCAGAAGGCTACCAAGGCCACTGTCAAGGCAATTTGTTCTTTTTGGTCTCCCTTGGTGGCAAAATTGGACCGGGTGTTTCTTGGTAGTGGTAAGTTCGCTTGCTTTTGCATCTGCCACCCTTGAGGCTTTAAGCTGTAATTTAACCATTTTGTCATTTTCTGGTGGCAAAGGTAGGTTGTGAAATAACTGCCAGGACTGTATCCCAGTGATGTATTTTACTAGGGTACCTGTGGTAATCTTGTGGTTGGCGTGCAATAATGCTAACGTTTGTTCATCCTCTAGATTCACATTACACTAGCCTTTTGGGGCGGCGGGCGCCGCTCTGTTATTTCCCATTCCTACTGGGGCTTGTAAGTGTTATCATTGCTATAGAAAGCTACAAAACCACTATATATGTTGGTGGAATACCCACTTCATTGATGAGAATCAATTCAATCTCACAAGTCCCTTCAGAATTGATGAACATGTATTTCCTTCATTATCACAATCAAGTGTGTCCTGATTTTGAATTTTTATAAAAGTGAAAATTGCTGGATTGGCAGGGAATATTGTTGAGTTTTGTGAGAAAAGTGGGTACAAGATGTGTCAGGATTTTATGATCCAGATAACACAAAAGAAGTAATTACCTTTGATTATGTCACATCTCAGAATTCTTGTCATTTTCTTTGATAAAATTGACTGCTTTGATGATTGAATGGTGAACCATGCTGGTCTAATCACATTCAAGTGAGAAAACTACACTATATGTCAGGATCATGGAGGAAAATGAATAAGAAAATTGTTTTCCAGGATATCAAACTTGTTCACAAGCCAACCTATGAGTGTTTCAATTTCTTGATATGATTGACTTACTCCCAATTGAGTGAATGATACATATATTTTTTGGACTACGTCTTGAGAGTGAGTGAAAGAAAAATTCAGTTTGAAGTGTTGGAGCATTGATTCACATGAGATTAAATCTGTTTGACCCTTTAGGTTTTATCAATTGTTTGATTACCTGATGATTGAATCTGAATGTGATACATTGATTGACCTTCTGTGCATGTAATTTTGATCCAAATTTGATTGATGTTCAAAAATCTCAAGTCAAAGTTGATAGTTATGAAAAGTTGACTTCATTTGAGTTTCAGGATTTTTTATAAAAGCAACATACTTGATCAAAACCTAGCTTAAAATATTGTTTGGAAGTTGACTCTCATCTGATATACTTGTGCTTGAACTTTCAGAACAACAAACAAAATGTGATAAGTTAAACAAGATGATGATTGTTTTTATACCCAAAATGTACATGTGAAGGTTTGAAAGATCATTTTGAGGATACATAATGACTTGTTTTGGTGTTTGATTAAAGTGGCAAGTACTGGTTTGGAAACTTTTTAGGAAGTGATCTGTTGAAGATCATCACATGATCCTTTGAAAGTGAGAATTTCAATTGTGAAGGAATTTGACCCACACGCATTTTTTTCAATGTGGGTCAATGAGACTGGTCATTTTGAAATAGGATGACATTTCAGTTATCAAGAGAAAAGTGAGAATATCAGGTGTTTTAACATACAGCACCATCTACAATGTTACCTCTTGCATCCCAAGTTCCATCTGAGACATCAATGACTGAAAGATCAACATTAATGCACTTGACGTGATTTGTGAGTTCCTACTCTAATTGAATAGAGCTGATTATCTAAGAGACCACATGCCTCATGAACAATGTTGTAAAATCTAAGCTACAGATGGCTCTATTGCTCTCCATTGCTCAAGTCTATGGATAGAAGAGAGAGAGAAGAAGAAAAAAATACACACAGATACAGTCAAAGAAAAGGAAGGTTTTTACACAGAAAGGTCATTACACACCAAAAGCAAAAAAAGTGTATGTCAAACAGAGACACACATACAATCAAAGCAAAAAAACAAACATACCCATAAATAATCAAAACATTTCAACATAAAAAATGAGGACAAAAGAAACTAATGAGTATTAACTATATGAACAACTACTTAACAATCAGGAAAGAAAATGAGATGATCCTCTTCATGGAAAGAAATCTCAACAATCCAGAAACAAACAAATCACACCACACTTCTTGGATGAAAGAAAAAAGCAAAAAAAACTAATTATTCTCAAGAATCAGCACAAGGGAATCAGGTAAACAAAATATATGAGAGAAGAGAAAAACAAATAAGAAACCAAGTTAGAAGAAGAAAATCAAAAAATAGGGCAAAGAAAGATCAGTCAAGCACATGTAAGAGAGAAGTCGGCTGGAGCAGAGGAAGAACAAGTGGGATCAAGTGACTCAAATGAAAATAAACTACACTAAAAACAAGGAAACAACACCATTATTAAACACATTTAATAGATTATAAAAGGAAGGAACTTACATTAGATAAGCAATCAAATTGAATTAATCAAAAGTCGGGATCAAGTCAAGTTGGAAGAACGGAATCAAATCAAAGTAAACTGAAAACCACATAGACCTAGTTTGGAGTGCCAAGATGATAAGAAAAGCAAATAGTTGAAAGGAAGAAGAGTAAAAGTTAGTATCATGTTGAAAAGGAAGGAGATAAGAAATGGAAGAAAACTACCTGGTAGTTGAACATGTGTAGTTGAAGCCAAACAATTGAAGTTAAAAATCAAAATCGAAATGAATAAAGCAGATGGAATGGAAAGTTTCAGTGGTGTAGTCGAATCGGAGATGGAAGGAGATAGTGAGGGGAGGAGTTAAAGGAGTCGGTTGAAGCGAAATGAGGAAGGATTGGTCGGAGTTTTGAGGAGTTGCAGGATATATAAGGAGGGGTTTTGAAGGATCAAAGAGGCATCTAGTGATTGATCTGGACGTGTGTGTCCAGGTGTGCGATCAACAGCGTGGGTTCAGTGTCCTTGTGCCCAAGATTGTGTGTTCTTCAAAGTTTTTAGTGTGTTCAAGTCTTTTGATTAAAAGGGTTATCTTGTTTATATAAGAGTCTTGTGCAAGTCTCCTAGATAGAGAGTTAAAAGAAAGAGCAGATTTTTTTTTTAGTTATTGCACAGATACAAATCGAAGCAAGGAGAGTCAAAATCTGTAGCACAAAAGAACTGAAGCAGCAAATCAAACTCGCCGATAACTTTGAGGAATTCAGGCTTAAGGTCCCTAGTATGAATTGGAGAAACCGGCTTTCTCAAGAGATTTTTCAATCATCTTGCTACAACTTGCGTCTCATGGAACAACTCAGTCTTGGAAAATTCGAGTAAATTGTAATCTCCTGGTGTATTGAAGGGCTCTTTGAATGTCTTGATGTGAACTGAACTACCACTGAGCCTGTAAACGCCTTCTTCTTCAATCGCTCCCGTCATCTCTAAAGATTCAGCACACCGGAATACTAACACAGGGCGAGGTGCTGGTGCAAATGGACGACTCTGATTGGATCCGACCAAATTATGCAGGTTTTGTGTTTTTTTGTTCTGAATCTGATGAGATTGTTGGATGGTATCGAATATGATCAGCACATCTGAATCGGGGCCAAAATGTTAATGTTTGAGTAGAGTTGGTGGGCAAGAGTTGAGTCGGGGGTTGGACAATGATGAGTGGAAGAAGAAGAGTGATTGAGTTGTGTTGATGTGATGGTTCAGCTCTGACTGTGGTATCCAGAAGGGCCAGTATTGGTCTAGTGTACATTCCAAGAGCCAAAGTCAGTCCGACTCCCACCAAGTCTATGTAGAGAACAGTGTTTCAAAAGGCAATCAAAATCAAAAGTTTAACAATCAGTTTGACAAGAAACAGTGGGACCATGAGCAAGATGAGAAAAGGACACCTTTATAAATTCATCATTCAAATCGATGAGCTAAAGCTGAAGGGTATTTATTAAAACTGAGACCACTCTGCTGAGGCAATAATTCAGAAGGTATTGGACATCAGTTTTTGAAACAAAAGCCGGAAGAAAGCTTGAGAGAATAAAAGACATACCTTTGAGTAAACCAACGTAAGGCCAATTTATGAGGCTGGTGGGATGGGATGTCAAGTAGTTTTTTGCACCTGTATTGTTGTACGCTTTGTCCTAGGTTGAAATAACAGGAGCAACATGGAGTGGAAGAAAATTTTGTGGTTTCCAATTTGGGCCTTTGAGTCCTACAGCATGGAGGTGGGTCTTGTTCAGGCTAACTGTTGAATAACGATGATGATGATCTTGTCAATCAACTAATTCTGAATGATCCCAAGGATGATGGGAAGATCGTACGGGTAGATGCAGTTTGACATGGTCTATAGATTCACAGTGGTATGTTCATTGTTTCCGAATGAGGTGGTTCAAAAGAACACACCGGGTTGACTACAGGATTGAATCATGACGGTGAATGCAAATTGATTCACATTGATTGATTTCTGCCTATGTGCAAAACTCAAAAGACACTCTAATGGTGAATTTTGTCCAGTTTTGTAAGCGAAGTGCCTTTGGGATTAAATGTAATGATGATTGACAACCGACCCAGACCACAGACTTCCATAGTTTTGATTGACTAACTGGGAGAAATTCAGTACAACATAAATCATGAGCTTCACTGTAACGTTCAAGTTTTATCATTGCAGAGTTATAATTTTTTAATGTTGCTTGTGACCAACTTCCGCACAACAAATGAGTTTGAACAGTGTTTCCTCTCCAATGTGTTTCACTAAATAGAAGATGTGAACGCAAGAAGCACAAGGAGGAACGAATAGGTCCAATTGTCATCAGACCAAAAATTTAGAGTGGAGGAACAATACCAAGAAAAAGAACACCAATGCATCATCAGTATCAATTCCGTGTAAGAAGTGAAAGCAGACAAGTTTTTTTTCTCTCTCACCCTTTCTCATCTTGTAAGAAGCACTGCAAACATTATTCAACTTCCCCAAGTGGGCAGGAAGAAATGATTGGCAGCATGATTTGTCATAAAATGATCTATCACTCCAAACCTGAGTCATGAAACTCACGTTGGAGGCGGCTCTTTTTTCAGCCTGCGCCCATAAATGAATGCAGCCATTTTTTAGCTCAATGTGCGCGCAAAGGGCGGGGGTGCGCGCAGTGCAGGGTACCAAAATTGTGTTTTTGAGCATTTTCATTGAAAAAACATTAAAATCATGTTTTTGAGCATTCTCATTGAAAAAAAACATTGAAATTTAAAAAAATCAAACATCAAATAGATCAGCTGCAGACCAGCTAGAAGGTTCATCCTCTACAACTATAATTGGTGTAATAGATAAATTATTGTTTTTCTTTTTTTCAAACAGAGAGAAATCAAAAAGACTATCCATGAATCCCTCAAAATCATCTGAAGAGTCATCTGCCATAGGCTCTACCCCTTCTTCAAAAGCCTCAAGCTTGTCAGTCAGTACAAAAAGTTCTGCATCATAAGGGTATATAACAAACAAAAAAACCCGCTCACTCTACAGGCTGGATGGAATGTTCTAGAAACATGCATGCAGGCCCCGTTTTGAGCAGTTAGCCCATATCTGTGCCGCAAAACGTGGGCCGCCTGCCATGTGACATGAAACCCGCACTACATATGTGTAGCAGGCTCAGTGAATAGGTGATTATCATGTACATACAGTTCTGCTCAGTTATCTGCTCATCAGGATAAGTGATCCATATGTAATACATGCTGTAACTTTTTCAGATTGCCAAAAGCATCCAAAAGATTGACTACATACACTGACTCAACATTTTGGTATAATCTCATCAACTCAACTGCATGTAACACTCTTTCTGTTACTAAGAATTAACTTCAACATTATTGCCTGAGCAGCTACAGAATCATATGTAGTGGATTTTTGGGACAATTTTTTCAAAGTCAAAATAGTTACATGTGGTATAACACGTGATTTATTTATTCTGATGGCCAAAACACTGAGCAGACCTGTATGTACATGATAGACAACTATTGACTTAGCTTGCTGCACATGTGTAGTGTGGGTGTCATGGCTCAGGTGTGCAGTATTGGATCCTTTTATGACAAACTGTACTATTAGTCATTTTACTCTTCCAACTTGGGGAAGTTGAATGATGTTCACAGTGAAGGCCTTTATCTTCTCCTTGTTCTGCAACATTGTCACTAATCTTGCTTCAGAAGTCCTGACAGATTGTTTGGGATATCAAAGACTACTTCAAGTGTCCCTCTCCCTTCTTTCTTATCCATCTTGATAAATTGTCAGCTGAGACAGAAAATCAACCAAGATATCATCATTTATCAATTCATGGAGTACGGTGTGCAAACAGGAATTACAAGACTCTCTGTAGGGCCACGAGGAACCTCTGATCGTATCTTGGGACACTATACATCACTCAAGTTAGTTGCCTTCAAAAAGGATCTATATTTACAGGATACAAAGTAGAAACTGGGAATGGGTTCCCAGTTTTTTTCCCAGTTTTTTTGGCTGTAGAATTAGATTGGGAAAATTGGGAAAACTGAATCTACAGCTAAAAAAAACTGGGAAAAAAACTGGATTTCATTTCGGGTTTCTACTTTGTATCCCACAATTGATTAGGTAGTAGTGAAGGTGGACAAGTTGATTGAATGGTTAACAGAAAGCATTTTGAAAAAAAAACGAAGCAGGACAACAACAAATTCTCTATGGTCAAGCAGATCATGTTCAATGACCCAAGTGAGCCAAATGACTGCCTGGGTTCAGTTCGATACTCTTTTTGGCGCCGTCTAAAAGAAGCCTCATCAATTCTGGCGACCAACCTTCAGCAATCAAACTCAGAGTCCATTGCCACTCTTTTGCAATGTTCAACTGCGTCAACGTAGCATGATGAAATTGGTAAGCTACTTCACGTAGCTTCGGAACTTGCTCTGTAGGGTTCTTTAAAACTGAAGCCCAAGATTCCGGTGATATGTCACTGGTCCTATCCATAGGTCCAAAGATATCAAGCAGTACTTCAGCGTGGGATTCGATCGCTGTAGATATATCACAATGAGTTTTCGTTACCAGTTCCGATCCAACACGGTAATTGAGGATTAGACCGAAACAAAATGACTCACAGTCTTTTGGGAAGATACCTGCTTGTTTCTCAATCCATTGCTCAATCTTGTATTGCGTCGACTCGGTGAGTTCATCTCCAAGTTGAAAGCTATCCTTCAATGAGTTTTCCAACATGCCTAATTGGCCTGCAACTTCCTGGTCAAACTGGGTTTTGTACTGGGGCAGCAGTCTTTCTAATTCTTCATTCAAGATCCCTCTCAAACGATCTATATACTTATGCACTATGTTGCCCTCAAAATCGGCATTCAAGGATGTTGGCCATATCGTCGACATCTCGAGAAGGTCTGAATTCAGTGTGGACCCTTTGAGTTTTTCGGGGTCAAACAGCTCGACAAGATGCTCAAGCCTCTCATGTTTTCCTAGTGTAATTGAGATCATAATTAAAACTTTGTCAGCTATTTTCTCTTCGTAGGCGTCTGACTACGCTTCCGTCATCTTCTCATGAGATATGTGGATGGCAAAGAACTCACCCAAGGTATTCGCTATGTGAATATATGCATCTCCCTGGATAATCTCACTATTATCCTTAAAACCTCCTATGAGTTGACGGACACCTCTTTGAAAGGTACTCTTAAGATTCTTTTTAGCTACGGTAGCTTTCCAACGATTCTCGAGAAAACTCTCGTCCTCGTCTTCAAGCTCTTTTACTGATTTCCTCTCCCGAGCTGGGGTTGAATCTCGGGTGGTCTCCTGGCCTACTTGTTCCAGTGACCGTGGTGCAGGCTTGACGTCTGGAGTACTAATCTTCAGTATTTCCCCCATAGGTAGGGACGCGATATATGTTTCCAGACGGCTAGCACGTTTCTTAATCCGTTCAATGATGTCCTCGGTGGAAGGAAATGTCTCCCTCGTTTCTTCGGTCCTTTCAAAATAGCTGACGGGGAGGGTGAGTGAAAACTGCTCTAGAATCAAAGCAAGACTGGGATAAGGGTCTGAGGTGCAAATTGGAAAACTTGTCAGTACAAAAATCTCAAACTAAACTGTGACAAACAGATAACATATGCAAGTCAAGGTGCTTTTTACCCACCTAAATCTTCCCGAATGGTGGACAAGATGACTCTAAAGTCAACGAAACGCGAAGTTGCAACCGCGACATCTAATTCGTGAGTGATCTTAGCAAGCCATTCCTCTAGATCTAATCGTTTTTGTTTTTGAATCGCTGGAGTTTTCATTCTGGAGACGCATATCTCAACGAACCTTCTGACTCTTATCAAAGTTTCAACTTGCTGGTCATTTACGCCCCATTCTCGACTCAATATAGGGCTAACTGTCTGTAGTCCAAGTAAACTATAACTAGAATCGGGGGCTCTCAAGCCAGCCGGGCTAAATAGCCTAGCTACTACTGAAAGATGTGGGAAAGGCTCTACATGAATTCAAAGACCGTCAACATGCGATCTCTTTGTCTATGAACGGTGCTCTGCAAGAGATCGCGAAAAAAATTCTACGTACCCAAAACATGATATGTCTTGATCTCTCTCCATCCTTTCATAGACTTGAGTGACTGGACGGCACTTGCATGATCCCCGAAAACTTGAATTATGTCGCTTGTTGCTTGCTTGATCAGAAGTTCGTTCTCCGAAAACATCGCGGAAAGGGAGTCCAAGGAACGTGTATAAGAAGCTAATGAAGAAAGTCGCTTTGAAACCTCATCCTTCAAGTCTTGAGTCCCACCATAAATCTTTGGTAACTGATTCGAGGGATGCTTCATGATCCACTCCGTGCAAAACTCGGAAAGACTACGAAAATTATCTTCAATGTCTACTTCCTCCCCTGTGCTTAGGTGATTTGCTAAAATCCTCGAGACCTCCAAATATTCAATTTCCCTTTCAATTTGTACAGACTGAGGGTCACGAAGTAGATTTAGATAGTTTCTAGTGACTCTGCCAAGCGGTTTCTTGACGTCTGCGACCGGAAGATTGCTTGCGTGCTCGACAGTATTGGGTGGGGGTGGACGAGGCGACTTAGACCTGAACTTCATGATAGCCTTGACTAACGATTTGAAGTTGACCTTCTTGGATTTCTTCTTGTCTGAAGTCGAGGTTACATAGTCCTCGCGTGTGGCTATCCTGTTCAACGCACCATCTCAATTACATGATCTTGGCATATCCGGCCAACGCTTCATGATGAACGGAATTTCGCACGTACTTTTGTTTCATTGCCAATACCTCTCGCAGAATTTTTTCCGACGGGGATTCATCGTACCTATTGAAGCTCGAGTATGAAGTAGCCTCTTGCAGCGGCTTTGCGCGCCATGTAAAGCCTTTAGGAGGTTCAGAATCTGGTGGTGTCAGCTCATGATTATATTGAAATGAGAAATCGCTTGCGCTTGATGAAAAAGATTTTGCGTCACTGCGGTGCGAAGAAGTGCCAACTGAACTTATTTCATCTTGTCGTATGATTGGTCGATGAGTTCTCCATGTAGCATCCATTGAACTCGATTCATCTTCACTCCAGGTTAGTGGAAAACTACTTGACGTAGAGCTTGAAGCTACATAGGGAGATCGATCTATATCACCTACGAGCGCATCTGTGACTTTTGGCGTTAGAGATGGTCCTCCAAAGGAATCTTGAATTAAGCACCCGTATAGCACAAAGCTGATGATCAGACGTATTGGAGTCGGCATTCTCCACGAGATGATTATATTTTATCAAACGCGATCTGTGATGATTCACGTCAATGGCCAACAAGAAAAGATTGAATTGGCGTCAGTATCATAACTCATATATAACATCACATCGCTACAACCAACCAGATTGGATCGGAGGCCAGATTCCGAAATCTAAGAGGATGTCAAAAGCCGGAGGTCTTAATCCATGCAACAACCCGTTGGTTCGGTTTTGGCGGTCATTTAGGTTCATCGGCCGCTGAACTAGATGCAACACTTTTCAGTTGCGCTTTGAGTGATTTTTCATGATCATATATCCCATGTAGCGTGCGTGGGCGCGGCGAAAGTAACAAATTTCCGCGTTTCATTCTTTGTTTTGCCACAGTGATGGTATGTTTTAGCTCGGAATGTCGCAATGTACATATTTCAGGGATGAAGAGTTATGTACGAAGTTTGATCCGGAAAACTTACGAGAATTTATCCTTTCAGACTTGGTCTTTCGAAGAAAGAAGGTTCCTTACACAAACATAAGTGAAACCGCATTCAAGCTTTACTGTTTTCGAAACGTCACGCCTCCTGCGAATCATGGACTACAACAATTCATGACGTGTGTGGCCGTGTGCAATCCACAACGCGTATCACTCAATTGCGTATCACACTTCAAGCACTGACCGTGATTCACACTTTGAGGATCCAGTATGGTAAGCTTCATTTAGCGTAGAGTATACGTTCACCCAGTGAGCTTAAATTTACTGCATGCTCTAAGGTCGACGTACAAAAACCGCCATGAAGTGTTTTCAGTCCCACCTACAGCCAATTTGAGAATGATTGAGTACTTCTTTTGAAAAAAATGTCGCCACGAGCGAAGAAACAAAACTCACTCAAAAACAAACCCAGATTTTGCACCTAGCAAAGAAGAGAAATGTAGATATGAGCCAAACACTTGGGTGTCCAGCAGCCACGTTCAATCTGTCCTTGCCAAATTCAAAGCAAAAGGCTCATTCAAAGGCAAAAAATCATTGGGCCACAACAGTCTCATTATTTGAACAATTGTGATCGCCAACATCTTGAGTGTGATGTCAAAAAATCTCAACAGGTTTCAATGTGTGAGATAGTCCAGGGTTCAGCAACAGAGGCAAGTGCTACTGCAATCCAGCTGGCTCTTGGTTCTCTTGGTAACAACTTGAGGGTAGCAATTGTTAGCCATATCTTAATTATAAACACAAAGCTGCACATTTTGAGTTTGCAAAAAATATGTGGCATGGACGGTGGATGATTGGAAGCAAGTCATCTAGAGCAATGATTCCACCTTTGAGATTGGAAAGCTGTATTGCAAAGTTTGGGTTTGGCAAGAAGTGGCCAATAAATCCAAAGCATCCTGACTGGCTCCATCTTTTGAATCAAGTTGTAGTTCAGTTATAGTCTGGGGTGGTTTTATTCCTGGACACGAGTTCAAGCTTGTCATTATGGAGCCTGGACAACTTTAGCAAGCAAGTGAATGAGAAATTGTCAAGACCCTTTTCAAACAAGCCATCCAATAACAAAGATCTGATTGTAATTAAGGATGGAGCCCCAGTTCATTTCTCTAAACTGTCTTCCAAATGGTGTGAAAATGAAGGAATAGTGAAGTTGAAATGGCCAGCACAATCACCCAAGATGTCAACCAAGCATCCAATCAAGGATCTGGCTTCCATGAAGGCCTACATGTTGGAGTCATAGGAGAGGGAACCTACTGAGAAATTGGGATGTCTAGCTGCCTTGATGCCCAAGAGACTTCAAGCTGTCATTGCAGCAAAGGGTGGATCCACCCCCAGGTGAGTGATCAGGTATTATTTTTTCTCCAAATCCAATTATTTTGTTCATACATCATCAGATAGAGAAGATGCTGATCCTTCTTTCTCACTATCTCCAACAGGCACTATGCGTGAGCATTATAGACATTTGCATTGAACACCAAAAGTTTGGGAGGTGTGATAATCAAAATTTGTTTGTGAATAGGTGTCAGGCTTGGATTATTGAGTACAGAAAGATTCTTATCACACAAGCCACAAGCTGGGATATTTAGTAATGTGATTCCATTTGGTGGTATCTTTGGCTGATCTTGGCTTGTTGAAGAGGGTTCATCTGATAACTGTGCATCTCCTACACACTGTAACAAGTGAGATAGCAATTTTTCAACATTTAATTGTGAGCATAAATCACCATTCAGCACATTCAGGGTTCCAAAGCATTTGAATTTGAATAAGCAACTGTTCACACCTTGGGGAGTTCTCAGGGGCAGTGCCCATATCAGATTTGAATGATAAAGTTTGTACCAGGACTGTCAAGGTTGCATAGTGCTCTAGATCTCTTTGGGGTTATGTACACCCATCAGGCAAGTTGATTCTGGGGATGTTGGTTCTGCATCCACGGCTTTTTCAACTCAAGCTTTTCTTCTTTTTTAAAGCCACCACACTTGCAAGACGTTTTGTGATCTGTTGGAGGTCTGTGGCCACCTTTCCCGCCATATCAGCCATAACTGTGCCGCTAAACCCTGACTGGCAAGGACACCATAAGAGACCAGACAAGCTCCTTCTGATTTATGTGGGCTTCATCTGGTGTACCTGTGTTGGATGGGTCCACTCCGGAAGGCTTGGAAATGCTTGGCATGTGTTTTCCTTAGATATTAAGGGTACTCAAAGTAAGCATGTATGTATACATACTTTTTGCTATATACTTTTTTTGGCAGTGAAAACAAGGCCAAAAGTATATTTGTGAAATGAGATGTATCAACTCACAAACTTAGTATTAGAAAATACTAAAGCAGGCAAAGAGTTTGGGCAAAACCCAAGGCTGATCGCCGAGGGTGATAAATTTCTGACAACAATAAACATACACCCTACGGGGTGGCTAGCGGCCCATGAAACTACACTAAAGAGAAAAAACCGACAACACGCTAAAAAATAACACACAAACAGGACCACTACAATGACTGAACCATGATAAAAAATAATAATAAAAAAAAATAAAAATGATAATAATTTTAACTGTAAAAGACACAAATAACCACTAAATATAAAAAATGAAAAGAAAAAATGAAATAGAATAAAAAATAAAGAAAAATAACTTTTGAAAAGGCTTAATCATAGAATAAATAATAAAACATATCTGAAACAGCAAATAACAAAAGAAAATAACAAAAAAGACATATAACCACAACCAATACCAATACCAAAACGATTAGACTAGGGAACCAAAGGGCGGGTGGGCTCAAAAATGATCTTTTTTAGTGAAAAGGATAACTAAAGAAATCGACTGTGAACGCAATGGGAATGAATTCGATGAAATTCGGAAAAGTGGTAAAGTAGCCATGACATCATGGCATAGAATCTAAAGATATAAAACAAGTGTCCGACCCGTTAGTATACTACACACATGTTTTTAGAAGCCCGAATTACAACTCATTCCCATCCGTTAATAACTAGTTACCAACAACTATTCTTTTTCCCCACCAAAAAAAAAGTATGTAGCACTACATACTACTTTGAGTACCCTTATTGTAGACCAAAAGTGAAAATAATGTCAGGCCAAGCAGAGGAAATGGTAGCTGACCCATCAAGCTATTCAGCACACCCGCAAGGAGAGGGTCCATTTTTCTTCTTAGGTATATTTTATAGAGCAACACAACCTTGGATAGTATCACATCAAATGAACATCTTATCTTTAGCAAATCCAAGACAATCATCTAACCTAACAAGTTCCCTCTTGGCAAGAGAGCCTGCAAAAGAGGGAATCATGGCTTATCCACCAAATTTGGTGTGTGAGCAAGAAAATTTTGGCTGAGGGGTTTGCAACTTGCCATAACTTCTTACCCCACAAATCAAATGCATTTGGACCAGAGAAAGGTCTTGTGCACCCACTCAACTTTGTAGGCTTGCTTGCCTAGAGCGACCTTGTTAGGTCAGGACAATCATCATGCATTTCAGCTTGTGCACGTTGTGTACTGGTCGGATTGATCTCTACCCTACTCAGCTACTATGCAACTGAGCAATATGTACCACTATCACCACTGGCTGAAAGCTCCCCAAACTCAGTACTACAAAATGCACCCTGTTCCCAATGTTACTTGACTCCTCCAAAGGTGTTGTTGGATTAGCCTAGTTTGACTGTTTCCTTATATATGCTGACATGTTGATCTATGCGTCGAGATGAGTCCAATATCCGAAGCAAACAGAGGAGCCATACAGCATGAGCGAAGGCTATTCATCTTTGTGGGTGGAGAACTAGGGAGAACCTTAAAGGGGGAAGAGGTTTCACTGATTACAAGATTGAGATTTTTGGGATCAAAATGTTGGCAAAGAGGCGAAATGAACAAGTCGAGATCCTCCTCAACTGTTTATGTTCTCACAGGTTAAGGCGTAAATGAGAGTTTTTGTGCAGCCAATAAGCATAGATTACATTTCGTCATCATCATCTCATTATTTTTGATCTCAGCAATAAAAGATCTGAAAGCTTATTCCAATCATCTTTCGCGCCCATCATTCGACTCACATGGTCTGCTGAGATTGATTGCTTAACTTCACATTTCAGAGTCTTAAGCCCAACTGACTCCCAGAACTTAAGAGATAGGTTGAATGGTGATAGTAGAATTGGAATGAAAATGGAAATGGAAATGGTTTTTGATTTTGAATTTCTGATGAATTCTAAAATCTGATCAATCTTTCGAGTCTTACAGCCTGATTCACTTTTAACCTTCAAAATCGATTATCCTTTCCGAGATGCAACGTCTAAACTCATCCTCAGCTGCATCACCTCCCTCTTCACCATCCGGTTCAACTTCTCTCAAACCCTTTCTTTACTCAAGATCTCCGAACAATCGGCATAGGTCAACTCACACTGAAACTGGTCTTTTTCGTCAAATCATTAGTTTTCTCAATCCAAGAAATCGATTTCAGATTGTTCTCATCATATGCTTTTTCTTAGCACTCGTTGTCTTCTTATCTTCTTTCTTTCCTGACCCTTCAGCCTATCTATTACAAGAGAAAGACCAATGGGATCTCTGGAGATCTAATAGCCCAAGATACTCGATCAAACTTGTTCCACCTTCACGAATTCGGCTTAAACCTTCACCTCCTCATACTCGAATCTTAGCCAACAGTCAAGGACTTACTGCATTCGAACGCGTTTACCTTCGGAATGGAATTTGGTATATTGTGAATGATAACAAGACGGGTGAGGTACCGTGAGTGTGTTGATTGGTTTCTTATGATTTTTCAACTCTGGTTATAGTCTCCATGTGTGAATATCTGGAAAGTTCGATGTATGCACCAATGCCATCTACTTTTTTTGCTTGTTCGCATCTGCTCGGTCTGATCGAGTGACGCGTGCGGGGTGACTGCTGTGACTGGATTTCCAAGTATCTCGGGCACATTCAAGATTTTAGCACGTAGTTCAATCGTCTTGATTGAAATATCGGCTATCCGGATTCTTGACTTATCAACATCATCACATCTCTCATGCTATCCTCACAATCGTTTTTCAAGCTGATCGACTTCTTATGCCCTCAGACCCCTTCATCATATCCAAGTGGGCTATGTACCCGCCCCAAATCAACTCAACCTCAAACTCGAGCAGATCACACAACACATCCAGCTCATATCTCCAGCCGATGCCACCGAAATCCTCGGTCCGTCTTCTGGTCGTGTTGATGGTACCACCGTCAGTCAAAAGATTCCTTCAATTTATATTGATCAAAAGCAGTTCGCATTTAACAAGTGTGTTCCTGTGCAATTATGTATTGAGCTAGTGGGTTTGGAAAGAAAATTTCTTTGTGAGTGCGTTTTTCGCGCGTTCTGATTGACTTTACAAGATATGCTGATACACAATACCTCTTCATTGAATTCAGCTCGCTCATTTTGGACACATGGCTCAGGAGCTCCTATTTGGATCATGGAAGATCTCAAGTCTTGCCTGGCCTCGAATGACCCCATCTCCGTGAGCACTACTTTACGAGGAATGACAGAAACCACGCATTGATATGCTAAACGTCTATCATTGGTATAATGTCTATGTACAGTGATCGACTGATGTTTACCCTGTTCAACCAACCTGAGTGGCGCGACAAGCCCGGCCTCAATGCCTACGTTCTCCGAGCGGCTTTTCCATCTCTTAGTTTTCTATATCGTCAAGACTTTGAAGAGTTTAAGGATTCTTCACTCACCTTGAGTTTTGATCGCCTAGTATTTGTTGATCGACAAGCTGCAAAACTCGCACCTCTGAATGCGGCGGCTAACAAGATGGTCGCCCAAGTCGGCTCAATTCCCTCCGCCTCCCCCCAATGGTGGGAACCAGTCAGACTTGCTGTTGTCGGTGCCATTGAGGCCAGTTTACCGAACCCAATCGTTGACATCGCGAATTGGAAGGCTCCACGGCCAATGATCACGTATGTGAGTAGACAGGAGGCAGTCCAGCGTCGGCTTCGACAAGAGGATCACGTGGAACTGGTCAAAGAGTTAGAAGCATTAAAAACCCGCAAGGATGTCGATGTTGATATCGTTATCTGGGAAAAGCTATCAGCGGCTGAGCAGATCAGAGTTGCATCTCGTACAACGGTAGGTGCAGAAACCATCAAAGAATTCCCTGTGTAAGGTTAATTTTCTGAAAACTCTTTCACCGGACCTCATTTTTTTTAGATATTTCTATCATTACATGGAAATGGTCTATCGCATCAACTTTGGGCACCAGTCACCCCAGGACTCTCTACAACAATTGAGATGTTATACCCAGGAGGCTGGGCAAGAGACTTTGAATTAGTAGCCACCATGTTAGGTCGAAGACATTACGCCTTTTGGGACGATCAGCTTCTTTGGGGTAGCAAGATGGCGCCTGGAATGGTCATGCCCGATGGGTTTCATGCTCACTCTACTCCAATTAAAGTAAGTACCACATTCCTGGGATATCGAAATGAGGTACATCTTTATATAAAGCTAAAATGATGTATCTCTTTAGCCTACAGCCGTTATCAAAGTATTGGAAGCTATCCTGGATAAGACAACTGTTCCGGCTCATCAATCACACCTTTGAGTTATAAGAGAATCTCGGAAAGCGCTTATAGAGCTGTGAGATCGTCTGGTTTTTTTAAAGGATAACGTTGGTGATATGGATGTATAAATTTTTCGGGTAAATAAATTTTTCAGGTAATGAGATGACCAACCTGGGGTAAGAATTCAATTACATCTTAATTAAATAGAGGTCAGCAAAAGGTGTGATGAAATGATAGATGAATCTCATTGATGCAAGAGATTGAAGAAGGAGAGTAAAGTAAATCGATAAAAGGCAGGTTGTATTTGAGGCATTTTGAAACAAAAGAAGCATTATACTTTGATACCAACAAGCTAGGTGTTGATGTTTATAGAGAAATGGTTTTGGAAGTGGTTCATGTGAAATGGCTTTTGTCATTTTCTGACTGCAGGAATATGTGAGATTAAGTGCTAGACTAATTGGTATACTGGGGGCAGGGCTGGTTTTTAGAGGCTTTGGCCAATGCTTTGGAGTTGATTAGTGGTGTGCAAAGTTGACCTGGTGGTTGACCCAGTTGACTTTTTGGCTGTGAGCTGTTAACAAATGTCAACTTGATACACAAAGTTACTTCCAAAAAGCAATTGCATCATCTACTTCGAGCACCACTATGTATTATCATAATCGGAAGTGAAAATTTCTGACACTTTCTGAAATCAAGGATTGAAGCCTTGAGATCTTCTCAATCCTGTAACCTGTCTAGTTGAGAGCTTTGAGGAGTGGATACAGGTTGAAATCTTTACAATACAAATCTTGTTTATATGTCTTGTTTGAAATCATAGAAGGGCATAGCTCTATGTAAACTTGATATATGAGTTATGTTAGGATCTTAAGAGTGAAGCTGAGTGAAACATAGTATGAGAATGGAAGATCTGAATCAAAGATAAATGAGGAATGATGAAGATACAGTTTTGATGAGTATCAAGGATTCCATGGTCAACCAGGCTTTGTTATCACACTTTGACTCTTGCTTGATGGTTATCAAAACATGATAAAAGTTTGGTTGAAAATTTTCAATGGTCCAAAAGTTCAATCAAAAGTTGATTTTTTATTACTAAAATTCCCACATCATGTGACCTATGCATATACATAGGCTGTCTTATGCTTGATAGTGCATTACCGTAGGTACTTAAGTACTTATGATACCTGACTTAAGTACTTAGTTGTGACAGTCTCATTGTACTTATCAAAAAGGTGGTCACAAAATTAGATCAATCACCCTTTCACACAAGGCTTTTGACTAGTCAAAAGTCTGTTCAGCCTTAGAAAGCCTTCTCTGAGCTCTGGAAGCTTTTTTGAATTCCATTTATGATGTATTTTGTTGGGTTCTCAAAGATTTGAAGAGGTCAAAATACAAAAGAAATACAAAAGAAAAATCAAAGTCCAAACTCCCAAAACGAGGACCGGGACTGGCCCCGGGGTTGGACATGACGTAAGGATATAAATACAACTGTCAACATGGGCCGGAAGAACGCCTTCACAGCGCCTTCGTGGGAAGAAACCGAAGGCTTGAAAAAATAAAAGACCTTTGGATTTTTAAAGTCACCCGCGCAGTCTCCTGGCAGGTTGAGCGTTGGATGTGCCAAGTTACCGATGAAGTGGATTGGATCAAAGACTGCGAGGTTATTCCAGAATCCAACTAGGACCCAGGAATGCGCCTGGTAATGTACGTGACGTGAAAAAGCCACTTTTTCCGGGTCGATTTGAAAACCGCCCCAAATAATCCCCTTTGGGGTCACATACATACGCTGGTTTTTGAATTTTTGACCCCCAAAAAACCCCTTCTTGGTCACGTACCTCGAAAAAAAAGAAAAAGGAAGTTCTGGAGCACGCAAGATTCCCACAAAGTTATGTAGATGCATGTAAACATTTGATTTATTTTCATAGTTTTTTCAAACAACATAAGCAATCCCTCTACAAGAAAATCATTGAAGTTATGTATCTAATTACTAAAAACTAATCAGAGATCTCTCCATTGTTGGGCTGAGATCTAGAGCGTGCTAATTCATCATAATAGTGATCAATCAGCTTATCAAGATGTACAGATCCAAGCATATTGCGTATGACTGTTGGAATCATAAAGCAACCATCACCAGCGTCACTGAATGTGGAACCTGCAGAAGGATCAAAAACATAAACTACATCCGTAGCATCTAACAAAGAGTATGTCAACGCAGTGGATGACAAGCCTTGAGTTGGGGTTACAACTGGGTAAGCCGGGTTGTAGAAATAAATTTGTACCGCAATGTGTGACAAACCCTTCCTAGCATTTGCACTTGTCACAAATGCATGCTTTTTGTTGACAAGCTTATAGACAACAAGGGTTCGTGCCAAGTACAGAGTCTAGATGATATCAATACATCAGAATCATTATCACCAAATTCATGAAACACAGGTAACGTACATGATGCTTGATAACAATGAGGAAGCTTCCAGGTTTGATAGGGTTCGCGGGTTTAATTTCGCCACCGTCGAGAAGTCCTTGTAGGTGGACCGGACCAAAATTAGCTGTATCTTTGACAATCCCAGAGAGATTGATCTTGACATTGATATTCCAGCGATGTCGGCGTGCTTCGCCGGTTGGAATTTCTTCCAAGTTCTTGAAGCACACGGCAATAATTTTTGAGCAAGCACTGGCTTGTGCACCACCACTCTTAGTTTTGCTTGTCAATTCTGGACGTAATTCATCCGGATGGATGAGATTTCTCTCATTTCCCTTATTCTTTACAACCTTGCTGTCGTGCTGTTTTTGGATACCTATAAGACTGGCGCCGATGAGCTTTCTATCAATGACTAAAGGACCGAAAGCTATATCGCTTTTGGTGTCATTTGAGTTTTGATGATTCTGAGCTACAGCTATTGAAGCAAGAGAGTACTGTGTCAGTAAAGTGTAGTGAACGCTTAGAAATAATAACTGAAAGGGCCTTACGTGCTGGATTGAGAAGATTTGATATAGACATTGCTGCATTCTGTAAGCATTCACTTTCAGCATCTTCAGGCAAGGCTTCAAGACACATGTCTATGGCATTCTGTTCCTTGGTTAAATGTGCAGCTGCTTCAAGGGCTTCCTTTTCGCAAATGTTGCGAGCTGTGTATCCATATTCAATATCATAGAGTTGAGTAGCACAAACCGATATATCTAGGATTCAATGTTTACATGTCAGTAGGAGTTAGGAAAGTGAGTAAAATCAGCGTACCTGATAAGTCTTCAGGTGAATTTTCAATCGATTCATCCAAATTTGGCCCCAGAACGTTCTCAATGAGAGAATTGAGTGAATTCATACCACAGACAAGTGCAAGCTGATTGGCTCGCTCATAGGCAATTGCAAGATCTTCTGAGATCTCTTCATCAGTCGGGAATTCCGCAAGAAACTTGAGATTTTCGTTTTCAGGTTCGTCGGAGAAAGCATACTGGTATCCAGAATGCATGTGTTCAGACGGCGGTATTTTGATTGTTCCCGCCATGATATTCTTGACGATCGCGTGAATCTTCGGCATCATCATCCGAGCGTTGAGAACTGTGAATCTTGGCGAAATAATACGCATCCAGCCGAAGACGTGTTCACAGGGCTCGCTGCCGTGTTTCCATGGGAGTAATGGGTAGGTCGGATAGAACTCTCGATGAGCTATGATGAGTTGGAGTAAGGAGGTAGCAAGAGTTGAAAATATTTTGAAACTTTGAGCCGATATACAGTTTTGAGAAAAACTCATGAGCTTGTGAGGCTCAGCTTGTCGTTTGAGAAGGTCCTTCTTCCAAAGTCTAAAAAAAAACTCGGCAGTCCACGCTGATCGGATGCGTTCACGATGTCCGATCCAATGGTTCAGCCAGGCATCACACATCTTGCCAATCACATAGAGGTAGATCGATAAACCAAGCCTGTCGTCTTCGGCAACTGAAACTGCTAGTGTGGACGAGTTCAAAGTGCGAAATGCTCGCCCATCGTCCTGTTTGTCGCAGTCAAATACGTCTTTATGAAGTAGTGGACTGCGGCCCGACTGGAGAATCGCCGCAACCTGTTGTATAGAGACATGATACTTGCCTATGATGATTAGACGAGCTCCGGATCCCAGCTGGTTTGCACCAGTCTTACGAGCATGTTTGGGGTCTTGTACCATTACAATTGGTCGTGGAGGATGACCCATAAGAGAGACCTTGATGTGGACGTTGTACGTTGAGTTCGAGTATGATATAAATTGAGTTGCTGTTTCCGCGAGTGCAGATTGAGCACATAGCTCAGTTGGTGCGCCGTCTGCACCAAGCGAAAGAATATTGATACCAGATTCCTCTGCTAAATTAAGGAACTTGATGTGGTTGTCGAGTATGTCATTTGAAGTCTCCTTATCACAACTAGCGATCAGAGCCACTACAAAAGTTGGGACATTAGGCAAGGGAACCTGCAGTGTATAAGCTCGAATCTGTTCAAAGGGGATACACTCGAAGTTAATGATTGGAAAGCTCCTTTGAATGATAAAGCAAAGGATGATAAAATCTGAGAAAGTATGTCTTACTTTTGAGCAGAGATCTTTCTTCTTTACAACTGATTTGACCAGATCTGGGAGCTCAGAAGCATCCTTGAAAGGAATATCCCCACCTTGAGCCCCAACCAAACATCCATTATAATGGCGAAGGCGCTTTACACACACTGTCTGATCTGAAGCAGCTGCGACTGGACCAGAGTAGCCAAGATCTTTCAGCACTTGAGAGATTCGATTGAAATTTGCGATGTGAAGACCATCAAGAAGATGCATTCCTTCTTTTGCTCTTATCATCCGTAGACTTCGATTACTACGGCCTGCAAAGTTGTCGTTGAAGAGACTTAGAGCCCGTGGGCTGATGGCACCCAGAGTGATCACAAACTCGTCTAGACACGAATCGATTTTCATCCCTCGAGTTGTCTTTCCAGTGTTTTCCCGTGCAGCCTTGATTGCAACGGCCTTGATCAAGCCACGTGTCGCGTCCCGATTATCAAACAGTCCATTCCGAGATGATGCTGCAACAACTGTCATGAAATTTCCAAAATCACCATTTGCAGCTGTGTCAATAGATGTGCAGAGGAGGCGACAGTCGCTAAGTTTCAATAAAGTAGGTGAGAAGCAGTTGTTGTTGTCCTCGTGGTAAGTGTTCCGAGAGTACTTGAATGTTTTGTCGTCGGCAAATTTAGTATTGATGGCTCGGAGTAAGCTACGGTTTTCTTTGACTTCTTCACAAGCATCGCATATCAATTTCTTGTTGTTTCTCTTTCGACGAAGAAAAGTCTTTGTACAGTTGCTAGAATGAATCGCAGATCGCTCGCCTTGTCGCTTGACTTGCCATATAGATCGAGCATCCAGGGTAGCTATCGGTTCAGCTTACTGTTCTTTTGACAACTTGCTCTCTTGAGCCTGGCTTCCAAAAAGACTTCTACAGATTTCGTGTCGGTAGTTACCACAATAAATGCTAGGAGTCTTTGAGATAAAAGATGTGATGCTTTGTGTAGCTCGATCTCGCTTCCATGTGTTGTCATTGAGTCCAGGACAAGTTACCTCAATCAAATTCGGATTCAGGGCTGTCGAAGACTGGAAATAAGAAGTCAACTGAGTAGTCTTTGTGAGACCACAGGTTTTGTCCTTACAAGTTGCTGTTACAATTGTAATCAAGAATTAGCCTAAAAGCCTACGTAAAATCACAACAATATGACTTACCACTAGCCCAGTGAGCTTCTGCTGATCTTACACGACCACTGTCCAGCCAAATTGGCTTGGCACCACAATGGCATGAGAATTCTTTGCCTCCAGGACGCTCTTCCACCTTGCATCGCTTGCAGGTATTGTCTGGGGTTGATAACGGGCACAATCCGAGTACGTTCGTTTTTTTGACTTGCTTTTGAGCTTTCTTAGTGGTGCCTCGAATGGTAACCTTTGTGATTACCACCTCGTCGTCAGAGGACAAGACAATGATGTTTGAGTCGTTTGTAGAAGTTGTCTTTGGTTGCTTGGCTGGAGGCTTTGGAGTCTTTGAGGTCTTTGGGTTGGACACAATCCGTCGTTTCGTACCACCCACCGATTTTGAGACGCTCGGCTCTTCAGATTCGTTATCCTCAGCTCCTGCATCTTTCAATATTGAGATTTACATTCAAATCAGTAAATACTCCTGCATCATCCTACATATCCTCCCATCATTTCTGATACAGAACTGTAGAAGACTCACCTTTGAGCGCCGATATAATATTGTCCAGCTTGACCCTTATCAACTTATCACAATCGCCGTCCCATGTCTGATGCTTTTGAGCTTTCCGGACCCATTCGACCACCAGTGGAAGTCCAAAGGTCCCTTTTGATATGTTCTTCTTGATACAGTCGCGACCAAATACGGAATCAAGAGTTAAGTTAACTGAATACCACATTCCTTCTTCAGCATTGGTAACTGGAGCATTGGAAAACGTCTTGAAGGTGAGATCTTTACGAGTCCCTTCTCGAAGACTAGGGCATTGGTTGCACAGGGTTGTAATTTTTTGTAATGTTTGCTCAAAAGATAACATGTTTGATGTGTTCTTGTAGGTTATTGAGGGATTGTAAGAGTATGTGATCAGATTTGATCAGATGTGATTGTATGCGGAGAAGCTGTGTGAAGAGGTATGAACTTGTGAACTAGTCTGATGAGGTCTGATGTTTTGGGTGGTAAACCTGCCTCTACCTGACATAACCTACCTGTGTGAAAATATCACCTTTCACAACACGTACATCAGTTCACCACACCTTGAAACCCCCCTTTCACGTTACGTACATTTTGGTAAAAATCCAGAAAAAACCCCCTTTTCGTCACGTACATCTGCAAGTTTTTGCCCTCAAAACCCCCCTTGTTCGTCACGTACATTACCAGGCGCATTCCTGGGTCCTATCCAACTGCTGATTTGATCAGAGAGAGTTGATGTGACATGAATCAAAGAAGCTCTAACTTCTCACAGCAAGATCATCAATGTTTGGTTAGTGAGAAAGCTGAAACTGCAAGATCAAAAACTGAAAGGTTGTTTGAATTGTACTTAAAAGGGTTACCTTTGAATGGTTTTTGTACCATTTCTGTTATAATTTTGATTTTACATAATTCAACTTGAGTCTTGAGTCTTTGAGATTGATTGAACTCTGTCAAAGAAAGAAATCAAGATAATTTCGAATTTAGAAGTTCAATGAATCCACTCTCAATCAACGCTTCCATAAATCCAATCGATCGATTATATATTCATACAAGCTTTCTAACACTTTTGACCCTAGCAATTTGATTCTCGAGGTTAGATACATACATACAAGACTTGAAGAAGCGTTTTAGATTGATAGAAGAAAGGTAAAGAAGAGAAATTGATTATTATTATTTACCTTTGAGCTTGACCTTGAATATAAATTAGTTTTTTTAATATTTTAAATTTTTAAAAACTCTTGTTTACCAAATTGTTTTCGTCTTACGTTTTGAATTTCTCATCAAATCAAATCAAATCAAATCAATCATTTTACTACCATTCTCATTCATTTCCTTATTATCATCATCTCATCATCATCATCCATCACTCAATCATTCATCATCATTTATCTAATTCGATATTTAACTCAATCAATCAACATTGATTAATCACACTTCAAAACTCATCTTATCCCAATCTATTCAAAATCGATCAAATATCAAAAACAATTCACAATGCCTTACGATCCAGTTCCTCAATCTGATTCACCTTCACCTCCTTTTCCATATTCACCTCCTTCTAATCATCCATCAAGGTCTCAATTACCCAATCCTCCATCTTTTAATTCACCAAACTTGAATTCAAATCAATCGATTCCTACTATTCTTCATTCTCATCATCATCATCAACAACAACAACAATCTCCATCGTCACAACAACCTATTGAAGATTCGAGTTTTTCAAGTCCTGATTTATTATTAGATCAATCTACGACCGAAAACTCATCAACCGAAGAAAATCGAACAAGTCCAAAAAATCACTTCAATCAATCTACAAATTCACTCACAAACAACCCTCAATTCAATCATCCTCGTCGATCATCAAGACATCGTGATTCTTATTTGGAAACCTATGGATCTTCATCTCATCATGGTGGTAGTCCTATCAATGGAAGTGGTCCTGATCTAAACAGTCTTAATGCTATAGCTGCTGGTTTAGTAGGTAGTGATTATGGTCCATTCCCAGCTCAACTGAGTGTTGTAGGAATCGGTTCAAATTCGATTGGCTCTAGATTGAGTGATCAATTTCGATCACCACAACTTCAATCATCTCAATTCAGTCCCCAAGATTCCAATTCATCAAAACGCTTAACATCTCTTACTTCTGTTACATCGGGTGGTACATCAGATTGTCATGAATATTATCCTAATCAACTTCCTAATTCATTTGGATTCAGAGCAAACCAATTACACAAATCTCCATCTCAAGAAGACCTTAGCTCGATTCGTGATTCATTTGTTTCGCTCGATGATGGGACTCAATATAATCATCGTAACAATCCTCACCTTCATCAAGCTCATCTCAATCATCAATCTAATGTTTCTCCAGGTTTAGGTTATGGATTTGGTGAAACAACAGATGATTTATTATGGAAAGAAGAAAATAAAGAACCTGATGATTTCTTACACGATCCTGATCCAAGATTAGATTCAATTGCAGATCGTAAAATCATCTTTTTCTCAGGGCGAGGTTGGATGAATGTAGTGTCTCTTGCTGTCTTGGTCGGTGGCTTGATTGCCCTGTTTGCTCTTTATCCCATCATAACCTATGTTGTTCGTCAAGCTCCTGGTTTGATCGGATGGAACCTAGGGGGGATCAACGGTACTGGTCAAGTACCTGACATTCCTGGATTACCTCAACTCATCGATGCCACTACTCCTGATGATGTGAAAACTCGAACTGGTTTTGATGGTCAAAAATACAATCTGGTCTTCTCTGACGAATTCAACACCGATGGTCGTACGTTTTGGCCAGGGGATGATCCGTTCTGGGAAGCAGTCGATCTGCATTATTGGTATGTGAATTCGAACCTAATATCGCCGTCCAAATAATATCTTGTTGACTTACCCATTTGTGATTCTAGGCAAACCACGAATTTTGAATGGTACGACCCAGATGCAGTCACCACCAAAGATGGCAAATTAGTGATCACACTCTCACAAGAACCAATCCATAACCTAAACGTCAGGTCGGGTATGATTCAAAGTTGGAATAAGTTTTGTTTTACAGAAGGTTACATTGAAGTGAACATCTCTTTACCTGGCAAACCTGGTGTACAAGGACTTTGGCCTGGTGTCTGGACCATGGGAAATCTTGCTCGGGCTGGCTTTGGTGCTACAAACGAAGGAATGTGGCGTAAGTTTTTTTTTCGATTTTGAGCTTAGAGCGGCAAAGGTTGACAGAGACTTATCTTTTCTGCATCGAACAAACAGCTTATTCTTACGAAGCATGTGATGTGGGCACACTACCTAATCAGACCAACGCTGATGGACGTACACCAGATGCAGCGAAGACGAGTGGATCTCGTGATTATGGAGGTGAACTATCCTGGTTACCCGGACAACGAACCTCTGCTTGTACGTGTAAAGGAGAAGACCACCCTGGTCCACATGAGGGTGTAGGTCGATCCGGACCCGAGATTGATGTATTGGAAGCTCAATATGGATACGGAGCGAATGGGAACATTGGATCGGTATCACAATCGATTCAGATCGCGCCAATGGATGCAGGGTATCAATGGGCCAACGATTCGAGTAGTATGCACATTGTCAATCAAGTGACCACCACTTCTGCTAATGCTGGTACGGTCATCAATACTTGGCATGGAGCGATTTGGCAAGAGTCATTATCAGGCATCACCATGTCAGATGGGACATCTTATGATGGAAAAGGTTATCAAACCTTTGGGTTCGAATATGTCAAGGGTTATCAAGCTGATGGAGGTCGAGTGACATGGGCTTATAATGGTCAAGAAACTTGGTCAATTTATGCTAATGCGATTGGACAACCTTCGGCCACTGAGATCTCACCTCGACCGATCACCATGGAACCGATGTATGTGATCTTGAACTTGGGAATCTCGTGAGTCTTCTATTTTATAGACACTGGCCTCATAAAGAAAACAACTGACACAATGATTGGTGTATGGGTAATGATGATAGAAACAAATTTCAAATCGTTGAATGGGATAAATTAACATTTCCAGCCAATATGTACATTGATTACGTACGAATCTATCAAAAGGATGGACATACCAACATTGGCTGTAATCCAAAAGGTTTGTCTACTTGATGGGCTTTCTGATGATTTGAAAAAAATGAACTGATTTTCCAAATTACGATTCTACAAAATGATTAGATCGCCCAACAGAAGATTATATTAACCGACATATGGGTGCTTATACAAATCCAAACTTTACTACTTGGAAAGAAGCTGGGTAAGTTCAGGTTTGTAGAACCTATGATGTGAAACGTGTACTGATCAATTAACATTCATTTGGTTCTGGGTCTTTTAGATATACTTTTCCTAAAAATAAACTTAAAGACCAATGCTAAAAACAAATCAAGCATTTTATTGATATATCCAGAACCTTTTAATCATTGATTTTTTTTTTATCGATTTCTCTCTTTCTTCATATCAATATATATCTCTATCCATATATTCTTCTTATTTTGAAAGATTTCATGATCCAAAGCAGTGTGATGAGATTTTTTTTTCGGTTGGTTTTTGATGATTGATTTGGGTTTGGTATGGGTTGGTATTGGTACATGGGTTTTAATGGTCTGGTCTTGGTTTTTTTTTGTTTATTGAAGTTTTGATCTTTTCTCTTAGTTTTTTTTTCTTTTTTTCTTTTTCTTATTGAGATGATAAACTTGTATGGACTTTTTTTTTGAACAAAATATTGAGCTTAATGGTTGATCAGGTATTGAATGATGATGGGTTTATTGCTCATGTTTTTCATATGATTATTTGATTGTATGTGTGTGATGTGTGATGTGTGATGTGTGATGTGTGATATGATCTGAATTAGGTTTGAGATACTTATTACAGAGTTTGTTGATAGAGAGAGTTTATTACATTTTCTTTGCACTACTTACTTTTTCATTTTTATGCTTGAAACAAATTATCATCATCAGAAAAAACATTTACTTACAAAGGGTTTATTTTGATTTTTCAAATCATTAATGATCAAAACCAAAAGAAGAGAAGAAGTGATGATTGAAGTAAACAATTGATATTTCACTGTGAAAATTATTCAACTTCCTCAAGTGGCAAGGGAAAAATGATTAGGAGTATGGTTTTTCACAAAAGGATCCATCACTGCACACCTGAGCCATAACACCCACACTACATATGTGCAGCAGGCTGAGTGACTATTTGCCTATCTTATACATACAGGTATGCTCAGTTATGTACTCATCTGAAAAAATAGATCACATGTGATACATCATGTAAATTTTTTGACATTGACAAAACTGTCCCAAACATTCACTATATATATCTTCATAGCTACTCAGGCAATATTCTCAAAGCCATTTGTCAGTAACAGAAAAGGTGTTACATAAAGTTTGGTTGATGAAATTACACCAAAACTTTGAGTCAGTGTATGTAGTCAATTTTTGGAATGCTTTTGTTGAGCTGAAAAAAGCTACAGCATGTATTACATATAATTCATGTATTCAGATGAGCAGAAAACTGAGCATACCGGTATGTACATGATACAGCTACCCATTCACTCAGCCTACTGCACATATGTAGTGTGGGTGTTATGGCTCAGGCATGCAGTGATAGATCCTTTCATGCCAAACCATACTCCTGATCATTTTCCCCTTCCCAATTATGGAAGTTGAATGAAATTCACAGTGTTTTGTGTTTTGATTTGTTTGTGTGTGTGTGTGTGTGTGTGGTGTGAGCATGAATTTGTTTGTTTGTTTAGCTTACACTAGTTTGATTGGTTTGGTTCTTGATTTTGAAAGTGGAAATTGATTTTGAATTTCTTCATATTCTTGATGAAGATTAAGATCTCAATGTAAATATGTTCAAGATTGAACTGATAAGATGAATGTTTTTTTTGGAGGAAAAGATAAAGCTAAAGGTAAGGAAGAATGCAATATTTGTTACAAGTGTGTGGGTTTTCTTGATGATCCAACATTTTTTGAGTAATGTTGTAAAGTAGTCTTGGAAGTGAATTTATCCAATTACTATATCACAACTTATCAACAGGTTTTATCAATGCACCAGAACATAAACATCTATGAATTTTGTATCATGATCAAATGTTCTGAAAATCTAGTACAAGGTCTTATCCCATTGAAATGACATTTATTCTCACACCATATATGAGTTCATGATGTAACTGATTATGAGCTAATTTTGTGATAACAAGTTATAAAAAAAAGCAAAAGAGATGACAGAGTGTAGCACTACACTATAAAAAAGCAGGAATATAGCAGGGTGTATTGGAGCAGCCCAATGCACACATTCAGGCTAACTCAACTAAGTCCCCTCCTAAGTGTCTGGGGTAAAAAATACAACAAACCCCAGAGGCACGGAATTCAGGTATGAAATTTCCACATTTGTGCTTGCAGGCCAAAACAGGGCCACATACCACTTGTATGGTTCATATATTCATAGACCACTGAAGCTCATTGTATGTCTTCTTCACCTCAAGCCACAGCTCAAAAACAGTCACTTCGACGGAAGTGAGATTTGAACTCACGCTCACAAAGTGAAGCAGCTAAATCTCTTGAAGGTTCTAAACTGCCACCTTAACCACTCGGTCATCCCATCTGGATTGTAAAACTCTCTGAGAAAATAAATCAGTTATGAGGGTCTAAAATGAATGAGTGTGACTTATTTTATTTGATCTATTAACCTATTGAACTTTTTTTGCACTTTTGAACTGGGAATGATAATTATAGCAAGTATTGAGCTCATTTCTTTGTTGCTTTTAACAGTTTCTTGGTTATCACAAAGCAGGCAGAAAGTGCCCTTGTGCTGATTTCTTTGAAGAAGGCAGTCTTAGGTAACTTTGAATAGTTATTCTTTCATAGATTATCCCTTGCTAGGTGTTGTAAAGCTCTTGTTGAGCTTTAAATACTACATTGTTCAATTTTTGATTACATTGCCATTTCTCAAGACTATCCGGCCTTTTGTGGATGCCACCAGGGCCTCAAACCTGCTCTTCTTCCTCCATATCTTCTGCTGAACAAAGGTAAATGACAAGTACAACTGGAGTCTGAGTGGGCATTTGAGTTTGTGCAAAAAGGGTTGGCCTCAGAAACTGTGCCTTGTGTGGAGCTGTTGGGCTCTGGTAAGGCTTGTGCCAGTGTGGTGGATCAGGATGTTGATACATATAGGTGAGTAGACTTGTGAGGGAGCTTGTGGTTCTTGGAAATGAACAGGTGGGAATCTCGGAGTGTAGGAATAGTCAGACAAGGAGATTCCTCAGATCTAGTCTGCTGAGGGGGTATGGTGTATACCATGGTTTGTTTTGCTGATGGGATTTCACCCACACTGTCTGAACTTGAAAACAGCACTCCTGCCAACACCCAAACCAATCCAACATGATACAACTTTTTGGAGGTTTTCCATGTTGTATTGGCCAACCCACATATTCAGACCAATACCCGATATGATATGAGGACAACAAAAATCTGGTGGGCCATATTGTGTTGCTGAAGCAATGCAAGCCAATACCATAGTTAAAGATTGGTTGCAAGGCTTTCCCAGTAAGAAAAAGGCATGTTGCCTCCATCATGTATTGTGTTGCCAATACCCAATATGGAAAATCCTCACTCCTCATATTGGGTTGGCTGAACCAACATGGGAAAACCCGATGATTTGGTGTTGGGTCGGCGACACGAAACCTAACTTAACCCAAGTCCGATCGTGCAAAAGCTCACGGTAGCCCGAAGCCAAGGCACAAGGGACTTGCACATTAAACAACATCTCTGGCGTGACCAATAGCCCCAAAAAGTGAAATTTGGGTCACTTTTGGATGCAATCCATCCTATCTCATTCAACATTACTCTGATCTTGTTTCTGAAACTGGCTGGTAGGAGTTCAGCATCTTGTACATAACTTCTATTAGAAAAAAAAGAGAATCAAAAGTGCCAGCCCACAAGAATCGAGCTGGGAAACGAGTAAGAAGTTTGTTTAAGGGAGTCAATTGACCATCGCTCAAGCCTTTCTGAGGTCACGCATAACAATCTTAGGGGTCAAAATTTCAAATCTCAAAACAAGGAGCCTCAATGAATCAACACGATCATGAGCTCTGTCGAGATTCTGAAGAGGCCATTTCCTTCAGAACTCGATAGAGCTCATCTGACTGTTTTTTTGGAAGAAACCTACTTGTGACTCGTGGTGGAAAAGCGAAGTGAAAAAACGCCCACCAAAAAGAGGCTATTAGTCACGCAACGATTGTCGTTTAATGTGCAAGCCCCCTGTGCCAGGGGCGGACGAGTCCGAGAAAAATCACCTGGCACAGTGGGCTTGTTGTTAAGCTAGACACGAAACCAATCCGATACCAACATCCACGTTGGATTGGTTTGGGCATTGCTCCTGCTGTGAGGTCAATAGGGCCCCAATTGTGGACGCCCACTATTGCTGGCAAGTGAGACCCTTTCACCTCTTTGGTTGACCACACTGCCTGCATTTGATCTTAGAAGGTGATTGAGGAGGGCAACAGCCTCTTTGTAATTTCTGACTCCAACCATGTAAAGCAGTTCAACTTGTTTGTTCACATCTGTAGTGCTCAACTCATCTGCAATCACAACCACACATAAGTTAGGGGTTCTGTTGATCATGTTGCACCACAATGGGTCTCATGCTAACACAACTGTCTGTCTCCACTCCACCCTCTCTAGGGATCTTTGGAGGTACACTTGTATCGATGCAATCCAATCCCCCCTCTCTAGGGATCCTAGGATTACACTCTCCTTAGGGGATCATAGGTCTTCAGCCAACCCTGCATCCAATCAATTGGAAAACAAAAATTAGGCGGTGTTGGGACAAGGTGCGTGCCAAAGGCAGTGATGACAAGAGGGAAAACCTTACGGTATGATGTGAATGGGCTTACCAGGGTGGATTCTGTTGGTCATCAACCTATTATCAGATGATGAAGGGCTCATTTGGTTTAATGCACAGCCCTTCCCATTACCTACTGGTGGTATCCATGAGATCTTGTTGTCTGTGTGTGACTTGATCAGTGGCTTGCAAAACCTCCGTGGTGTTGTCTATATATTCCAAACTAGCATCCAAGATTAGTTCCCTGTCAATGTCATGAGCTCTGGTTGTCTGGGGTTGTTACATCTGGGTCTACTAGAGGCGGGCCAGGCGGTTGGCCACCAAGTGCTACCAATAATGATCTGATCAAGGTGATCTGAGCTGCCTTGTTGACTGCAGATCTTTCTTCCATATTTTGAGATTATAAATTGAGATTGAAGCAATTTCCCTCGACTCTCTTCAGGGTGTTAGTCTTGTAAGATTATAATGAAATATATTAGTAAAAATTTCCTTCACATTGCTTGCAGCGGTGTGCACTCTATGAGGGAAGCTTGCTGTGAGAAAGAGATTGGGCGAAACAAAACAATTGAGTTCGATGGAGAAAGAGAATAACAGTAGGTAGTACACGTTGTTCTGATAGCCTGTGATACATATGGTGGTTCTTAATCAAGTCTTCCTTGACATCAATGGGATTTGCATCAGTAAGTAACCCTGTTTCCAGGAATTGCTTGATCTGAACTGGAATGTCTTCTAAAGATAAGATAAATGGGGATATGCAAATGCTTTCAAATTCGAGAGGGTTGAGCGGAAGCTATTGAGGGTAAACTATAAATCAGTCAAAGCGGTTGAATCCAAAGAGGGATGAGTTGATTAATCTGAGCAGAGTGGGTTGAATTTTTGGAAGTTTCAAAGTTGTTAAAAATGTTTATGTAATCATTTACCGTTCACGATTCCAACCCGCAGTTTTTGAATTTAACCCCAACCAATCTCACAAGTCATCATCACCATTTGAACTCATCAAGTCACAAATCAAAACACATCAAGTCGATACATGATATTCAAGATCAGAGAAAGAACGTCAGGAAATTGAAAAAGAGATACAAGATCAAGTAAAAGGTAAAGAAAGTATACATGATTGAATGAGGGATGATGAGAATGTTAGTGAAGTCCTCTTATAAATGACCTTGATTGGATTTGATTGAAAAGACTGATGATATTTTCAATGACTGATTAGCAAACCAAAATGGATCAATCCACATCATCATCTCAACCACCTACTTCAATCATATCCATCAACAACAACGAAGAACTATCACCAATCACTACTAAAATTAATGCAGCAACCGAGATCACAAATCAATCAAAACCTCATAAATTGGATATTCATTTGATCTCACTATTAGAAGGGTACATTTTACATTTTATTTCAATCATCAATCATAAAACATGAACCAAATGAACCCAAAATCTTATGATCTCTTCTTCTCTTTTGATAGGTTAAATGAACGCAAAACTAGAATCGATCAACAAGCTCAATTTTTATCTAATTTACCTAAGATCTTACCATTTGAACCTTTAGCACCCGCTTCTTCTGATATTTCATCAAAAACATGGGAGAAATGGTGGCATGAACATGATCGAATCGAAAGAGAAGCTGATATCTTTCGAGAGGATGAATTTGCTCTCATGAAGAAAGTGGCAATGTGTCAGTACTATTTCTGTGCCCATCAGCGTATCACAATAAACACTGAATGTAATCTGGATTTTTTGTCTTCTTAAGCCAAAACTACTAACATGTCAAGAGAAGATACCGATCTAGTGGGTTTAACCTTGGGTACACTCGAAGCCTTCTCAAGACTAGAGCATCTTCTTAGATCACGGCGAAAACAATTGCAAATTCTTGATTTAAGGATTAAATGGGATCAACAAACCAAAAAATTAAAAGCTCAACTTGATGAATTACAACAAGAGAGACCTAAATTGATCTCAAAGATTAGATGGTCACCTCCTCATCCAGATCATTCAACTCCAGTCACAACTCCAACCTCAACTCCAACCCCTTCATCTCCACTCTTGCGACAAAGCTTGGGACCTCAATCACGTTCTCCTATCTTATCTGCTCAAACTCCTTTTCCTCGTTCTCGGCAAGAATCGTTTAGTTATCAAAACCAACCTAGAAGATCCTCTACTCGGCTCTCAATCAGTAGCGTTCATCATCCTCAACCTGATACAGACCATACCAATGGCGAAACATGCTTGCCCCTTGATCAAACTCACACGCCTATGAAATTAAACAGTTATAACAGTGACAGAAAAAGTAGCATTGACGAGCACTATCGAACGCCATCTCCAACGTATTCTGCTAGGATCACGGTCAATCCCGAGTCTTCGATGAGTGTAAGGACTCATCGTAGTAGCTCTAGTTCTAATCGGAATCACTCTTTACCTACCACACCCACCCCTTCGGCAACTCTGCCGACTTCGATTCATTCTCCTTTGATCTCAAGTCAATCTAGAGCCATGCGAATTCAATCTTTGACTTTGCAACTTTCATCTATCAGTACCAAACTCAGTACACTCAATCGTTTAGTGATACCTACTTCAACAACCATTGATAGATTGATCGACTCAGGCTTACATTTACCAGAAGCCTTCTTAGATGAGCAAGACCGATTAGAAGCAAGTGTGAGATCGATCGTATCATCTGATATAGCCAGATTTTATGCTACTCTCCTAGATCAATACAAACAAGCCGATGAGATTTGGTATCATCAACGCTCATTAGACAATGAAGTGGAGATCATGAAGAGGGAGATTGAATTAGAAATCAACTCGAATCGGATCTCATCTAACCATAAACCTAAATTCGCAATCATTGAAACTAAATTGAACTCGATCATCAAAACCCATCAAAGCCATTCAAAGCGAATTCAACATTTCTCTTGTTTACCTACTCATGAATTTTATCCCGATCAAGATCAACTCAATCAAGCATTGATTAATAATCTCACGAATGGTCTTCAAAGATCACAACAACGTTTGGACCAATTGATCGAATTGGTCAATCTGTATAAATTAGCAGTCGATAAGATTGAGAGATCTAAGGAGATCAGATCGGCCATGGAAGCAAGTAAAATGAGATTCAAAGAACTAATTGAAGATATCGAAGCTCTCGATCGATCACAGTCAAAAGGAGCTGGTGCTCCGACAGATGTGACTTCTACCCACGAAATTGAAATAGGAGTCGACACATTAGAAGGGTCATCGAGTGATGCGTTTGATCAAGCTTGGTATCAAATTGAAAAGAAATTAAAAGTCGAATTGCAACTAGCTTTCAAACTTTTAGAAAATGCTGAGACAGTGTTAATAGAGTTAAAGGCTTTAGGCGTTGATCCTAAAATCAAATCAGATACTCAATCAACAACACGCAATCTCAAGAATCAGATGGATGAGATTGAAGAACTTATACGATCAAGAACGTTACAAATTGAAAGACTTAAGCTTGTTCGACATGGATGGAAAAGTTTGATTAAAGGCGAAAAACAAGTAAAAACTTTGAGAACGAAGTTGATTTGGGAGATTGGTCGATCAAAGTGGAAAAAGCTGATCAAGATTGAAGAAGAAAAATCTACTAGTATGATAGGTGATGATCATCTCCATCGAATCCCTAGGGTACCAGGTCTATTGAGTGATGCTGAAGAAAGTGAATTGGAGGATTCAAAAAAGAAAGTGAAGGAGGAAGAGAGATTGCTCCAGATCACAAGCAGTCAGACGAGTTTATTAAAGGATAGTACAGAAGCAAGACAATTAATTGTGGCTGATCTAGAGCCCCTTATCAGCTCTATACTTGCCCAATTACCCAACCAACCTATTATTCATTCCAAAATCTCAGAGTTACATCATATGTTGAAACATGAAAAGCTCAAGGAGTTGGAAAGATTGGAAAGGATTCGAGAATCAATTAAGCTTCAGACTCAAGAGATTCAGAATTTAGACAATCTCCAAGACGGTTTGATGATTGAAGGTAGTCGACTGATTAAACGTGTACAAGATACAATTGGAGTTGAACTGGATCGGACGTATGAAATCACTTCAGAGTCAACCTCAAATACTGATACTGATACAACCACGAGGCATAGAAGAAATCAGGGAGAGACAAATGTAAATCGAGGTCGGAATAGACTAGTGACCAAAGTTAAAGAGTATGTTCCGGAGCTTGAAAGTTTAGTCAAATCTTTACCAGCTCGAATCAAGTTTGTGGTAGAGGAGAATGAAGGACTAGAGATTAAATCATATGAGGCAGAAATCAAGAATTTCTTGAATGGGATTGAAATGAGTTTGTTTGGATTAAGGGATCAATTATGTAATGAATTTAGTCTTTTGGAATGGATTGATTGCGAAGTTGGAAAAAGATTTAGTAATGGTATTGAAGATGTGAAGGTAGAGATCAAGGATATAATCAATGGGTTGGAAAAAGTCGAAGGCCAATTGAATGTCTGGATGGAAGTTATTGGTAGGTCTTATTATTTTCTCTATTTGCTACCTTTGAAATTTGATCTGAAATCTGATCAACTTTATTGGTCCTCCCCGGCCCCGTTTGCAACACATAGGTTCTGATCGAATGCAACCAGCGATTCCAGAACTCGAGATTCAAGCTCAATGTCATGAATTGATCACAAATCTCACGAACAAATTGAATCAAGAAATTCGAACTGAGATAGATGAACGAATCCCGAAAAGTTTAGAAGATTTCATTCATCAATGTCCGAGTTTAAGTTCAAATTTATTTAAACCTGATCAATTTATTTTACCTAAACAAATGTTACAACATCAGTTACAATCTTATTTTAATTCAACTGTTCGAAGATCAGAAGATTTGATTGGTTTGAGAAATAAGTTTCTAGAAATCAATCAACGGAGAAAACTCGAATTTGAATGGAGAGAAGATTGGAAATATAGATTGAATGAGTCTATGATGTCTTTGACGGATTTCGAAGATCGATTGAGAGTGCTTAACCTTGACTTGGGAGAAATTGAGTCACAAGTAAAGAGTTGGGAACTAAATCATTTCACTAGTAGATCAGAGATTGCTTTGATCGGGGATGATGGTCAGGCACCTTTCCCTGATTTCCAATCAGAAGTTACTAAATTTAAGGACACGATTACGTCGATTGGAGATGGCAAAATGGTTGAATTGAAGGACTTGATTAATGAGGTAAACTTGAAAGTGAAAAGAATTGAAGACGAAATCAAAGAGAAACTGCCTCTCGATGATGATCTGTTGAATGGATCAAGAACTCATTTGGGACGATTACAACCAGAATGGGAATCGGCCCAAAATCGATTGAAAGCATTGGAGAATCTCACCAATCAATTGGAAGCAGATCTTGATGTGAGAAGATCAGAGTACGACTTGCGAACAAATTGGAGTGCTCGATGCAATGCGGTTTTCAAAGAAAGTGACATCGAAGACATGATCGAAAGATATGAAACAATACTTGATCAAGCTCTTTCAAAATCTGATAAAGAAGCACTTGGTGAAGACGTGGGTGATCGGTTCTCGAAAGCTCTTGAAGATCTGCGAAGTTTGATCAACCGTCAGAATACGGACCAGACCTCGATCGGCCAAAAGTCACAGCTCATGAAGTCCAAGGTTTCTGATATTTTAGAAGAAACTGCCAACCTGAGTAAGATGCCAGATATCGAACATTCTTATTTGATAAAAGCAGAATCTGAATTGTTGAGGATAGGATCAAGTTTCGAAAAGGTTTCAAGCAAGAGCAGTGAAGCGGAAAGAAGAGCTATTGAAAGAATAGTCCAGGGTGCTGGGGAATTGGTTCAGATGGAGGAAATGGGAGTGGATCAGATTGTGATTGCACACCAGATCGGTCTTGAATCATCTCGGGTGAAGCATTGGATCAAATCGGAATTGGGTCCGTTTATGAAAGAGATTGAAGAAGAGGGTGCAAAAATTGATAACCTTGAGTCACTTTCATCCCAAATCGAAAGTGGATCAAAGGCTAAAACCAAAGAAGTTAGGACTAGTGGCTTGAACTGTTCTACCTCTTCCACTTCTTCTGCGAGGTTGAATGAAGAGAATGATCGACTGAAACAAAAGTTTTTGGAGATTAAACGATTGGTGGCAATGACTTCTAAGAGTCACGAAACTCTCACTCGACTCGAGCTTGGCCTGCCACAGCTGATTGATCATATCGATCTTTTCGAGATTACTTTGCCAGTGGCATGTCTCTCTGATCTGAATCAAGGTTTAGATCAAACAAGCTTCAAGACTTCTTTTCAAGAAACTGGGGAGTTAAACCGAATCAAGACGCTACGTGTACAATTGAATTCTATCACAGCAAAAGTGAACAAGATGCTAGAAGGGACAGAAGTGGGGATGAAGCTGTGTCAACAACAAAAGGCAAGATCGGCAAGGATGTTCGAGATCTTGGATCGATTGGTTTCACTTGATCTTGATCGTTGGGTTCGAGAGCCTGAGAAAAGACATGCGCCTTTACCAACTCGAGAGACTGTGATCGATATTCAGGGCAGGTTGGAAGGCATCAATCTTGAAATCTTGGATCTGATGTCGGAATTAGAGTCAGTCTCAGCCTCAGGAGAGAAAGATGAAACGTTATTAGAAAGATGTGTCAAAGAATACGATTCGGCTTCATCAAAGTTTGAAAGACTGAAGGAATTGATGGAATTCAATGAAGCGGTAGAATTATGTGATCAAAGTTTCTCACGTCTACTTGATGCATTAGATCATCATCAGAATAACGGTTCAGAAGATGACGAGCTCTTCTCAGTGAATCAAGAATCTGAAACGAAATTAAAAGAAGTAAGCTTGAAAGCTTGTGGGGTTGGTAATGATGGTAGAGTTGAATATCAATTAGAACGTCTTACTCAAACTTGGGCTGAATTATCAGAGATGGTAAAAGATCGACAAGAGTCCAAGGACGATCCTAATGATCGATCAAACAAGTTAAGACTGAACCCAGATGAAGGGAGTGATAGTTATATACCTCAATCTTTCTCAGCCAAGAAGAACAATAGTCCAGCTTCAAAGATTCCTGTTTTACTTGATCGATCACCAGTACGATTGAGGAGTAACTCAGTTGGTTCGACTGCTGGATCACCATCGCGCATAACTGCTAAGATTCCAACCATCTCAACACCATTAGGATCAATAGAAACGAGAGGAGGATTGAAACACAGCCTCGATCGTCATGCTCATCCCAACTCGCCGTATATGCCATCTCCATCCCTTGCTGCTAGTTGTCGAGCTGGGCGAAGAACACCAGATCCACGATCTGCCTCTAAAGACCATTTTGACAGTCATCCCCCTCCCTCGGGATACACGAGGACCCGAGCTCCTTCGAGCTTGAGGGGAAGAATTGGGGGTGGTGGTAGCGGTCTTCGAAATCGAGTCAGCCTAATGTCCATGAGCCAGAGTCGGACCGCGTTTGGGCTTAGTACTCCACCGTCTACTCGAATGGATGGTATTGAGAAAAAGCGAGTCCAATATCGACCTCAACCAAATCGAAACATTGATCAAATGGTTGGAAAGGTTGTTAATCGACTTGCAGTGAGTGGTTTTTTACTTTCTTTGACTTGGAATCTGTAACCCAGTTTTGGCTGATGAAATTTTGCTTACGAAAATTGCTGAATGGGTAGGTTGAAGTTCATGTAGCGCCTGTTGAAGAAACTTGGGAGGATAATAGTGGACTGTATTGGATTGGTAACAAAATGTATTTCTGTAGAATCTTGAGAAGTCAGACGGTAATGGTGAGGATTGGTGGAGGTTGGAATGAATTATCTAGGTACGTTAAACTGTGGATCAGAAACAGAACGAAAGTAATCTCTGCTGATGATTTGAATTTGGAATGTTTAGTTTTCTATTAGAACATTCTAAACAAGCTGTAGCTGTATCACCCTTGAGGCCAGATGGTTTAACAGTAGCAGGATCTCAAGAGAAATGGATGACATCAAATGAAGCAAGAAGAGCATCAGCAGAACATAAACTCTTAGGAACTTCAACTCAATCTGTTTCTACACCAAGAGCTAGAACCTTAAGTGCTCATCCCATGGCGATTTCTACTCCACCTGAAGCTATTCAATTATATTTAAGAAAAGCTGAAGTTTTAAAAATGACACCTAATCATGCTTCACCTACTCCTAATTTGGTGACTTCTGTTAGTGTTAGAAAACATTGGAGACCTTGAAAAAATAAAGTTTCTGTAATGTTTTGCTTAGATTTCTGATTTTTATGATTATACGATTTTTTTTATTATATTGAGATGAAAGATTGCAATGAGTTTTATTTAAAAAAAGGACACAGATTTAGTTGATTGATAGTGAAATCTTATGTATATGTTGATAGGGTTTTTTTTGAACAAATAGATTTATGTGCTGTATATAAGTATCATTATTATGCCAAATTTAACCGGGGTGGGGGTTTTTCGCTTGTTCATTTTTCTTTTCTATTTATTGATCTATTTATTGATGTCTCTTGTTAAATGTGCATAATTCTGTGTTTAGATTGTTACAATGTTGCAAAAGGTTTTGAATGTTTTCTGTTTCAATGTTTTCTCGTTATATTGGGAGTTGATGGGTTCTTTAGAAAAAAAATACAATTTGATTATTAATGATATAATGATATAATGGACAAATGTGGTTTTTGTTTTGGTTTTGAAGTTACTTGCACAGAGAGTTTTGGGGATTTAGTTTGTTTGAGTATTAACAAGAAAAAAATTGAAAACGAAACTTTTTGATTTGTGCATCTACGTTTTGGGTTGTGTTTGTATTTTGTATTGATTTGACAGAAAATCAGAAAGAAGATATGAGTTTGTACCTTTAATATGTGTTTACCTTTGCTTTTGGGTGTCGAGGTTCCGAGTGAGAGACAAAGAGCTGGGTTCGTTTGATTCATTCCATGTTTTTGTATTTGGACGTATGGAATTTGCATGAAAGGCAGAATCATCCTTCAAAGTTGTAGATCGGGATCGGTTTGCAGCGGTGGTGTTGCAGGCTTTCCGAGTGAATCTGAAAATGTATGGGTTATGGCATTTTGCCACAGGCTTAGGTATGGGGTATGAGGAGTATGGCTTCTTCTACATAGCTAAAGTGTAACGCTCATGAGGTCGTATGCAGAGTACCCGACTGACACTTTTTGTATGTGACGTACGGATTGGATCGACTTTGACTTGGACGGTTCGTTCGATTACCATATTACCTGAATAACACATCACTTGGCTATCATCAACTTGAACATCATTCAATTTCAATCAAGGTCTTCTGGCTAGAGGTTCTCGTCCCAAAAACCACCACTACCAAACCATCGATCATGGCTAGCATTGACGAAGAACCAGCTATAGGAGACGTTCCAGATGAATATGATGAAGCTGATCCACAAAAGGCATTGGAGGACAGTAGTGAAGAAGAAGAAGAAGGAAGCGAAGAGGAGCGGGCTGTACGAGAAGGTTTTAATGTTCCAATCTTACTTAGATTTCTTCGTGTTTGAATCTCAAATTCATTGATTATTATACTTTTGAATCGAAAACTAGGATTTATTGCGGATGAAGAGGAGGAAGAAGAGGAAGAAGAGGAAGATTATTCTTCTCGAAAACGGAAACGGAAACATAAACATCGTCATAAACACAAAGACCGTAAAAAACATCGATCTGGTGCGCGTCTCTGTTTGCAAACATACCGTAAACCTCCGGCATGTTGACCAAAATCCTTGTGTGTGGCCAAATTTACGTAGTCGCAATCGAAGCTGAAGACGAAGAAGAAGGCTTGGATGAAGACGATTTAGAGCTATTGGCTGAGAACACTGGTACGGCTTCAAGGAAGCCAAAGGTGGGCGGATGTATCATAGAATAACATGTTTTTCTCCATGTCATCTAAAGCAGTTTAAACCTTCTTTGTCCTTCAGCGGCGTCTTCGGCGTGCAGGATCGGTAGCCTCCGACGATCTCGATTTAGACCATGATGACGATCTTCACCGGATATTCGATGACGAGGATGAGCCTGCTGTACCTCGTCGTCGAGACGGCCTTGGTGTGGATGATGAATTAGATGACTTTATTGAAGAAGATGAGTTTCCCGAAGACGAAGCGCTTCCTCGACAAAAGTCAACCAAGCGCAAAAGCAAGGCGTCTTCTGTGCGTGTAGATGCTGGGAGACAGAAACAGGCTGGTCGTCTTATGGGTGCCCTTGCTCCTGACGTATCCGGGATCGACCCAGACGCATGGGATGAAGTGATGGAAGTCTTTGGGAATGGTGAAGACTACGAATGGGCTCTCGAGCTGGACGAATACGAAGATCTAGGCGCAGATGGCGGACAAGCTGAATACGATGCTGACGGCGCCTTTAATAGGTCAACAGCTGTTCAACTGAAGGACATCTTCGAACCTAGCCAAATCAAAGACCGAATGCTTACCGAGGCTGATGAAGCCATCCGACTTTTGGACATCCCAGAGCGTACTCAGTTGGCCTCCTCCACTCTAGCGAATGCCACATCGACTGAACCGCTCTTGACTTCTGAGGAGCTCGACCGCGCTGCAGAGTGGGTTTCACAGCGGATCTCTGAAAGGTGTAATACACTTTTCCTTCAGAAGGATCGCCATGGTTTCTTCCCGATCTTGAAGGAGCCTTTCATAGTTTCGATAAAAGACGTATTGGAATTCTTTCTCGCCAAGTATCTTGAAGTGCCATTTGTTTTTATGAATCGACAAGACTATATCACCCATCATACATCAGACAACCAAGGCAATGAAACCAATGTCCAATATCTTAGTCGAGATGAATTATGGAAAGTCCACACACTTTCTCTCAAGTACGTTGCTCTCCTCGATCGCAAAAAGGGTCTGAGGAGATTATTCGACAAGTTGGACGCTGAGGATGATTACTTTGAGGAATGTTATGGACGGATTCAAAGTGTTGAAGAAGTTTCCGATCTTATGCAATGGCTCACGCTCAAATATGGCTCTCGATTACGGGAAGCACAAGCTGATGTTCGAGAGGATGCCGATGCACTCGCTGCCGATATTATTCCCGATGGTATGAGAAATGCCAATGCCTCAGATAAACCGGTCAGATACAAGAAAGCTTCCAGAGAGAGTAGATACGAACGAGCGAAAGGCAGCGTCGTCAGTAAACTAGCTTCAGATTTGGGTATCTCTTCCAGGGATCTCTCTGCAGACTTTTTAGCACGAAACCGGCAACACTTTCCAGATGACCCTCCATTACCACCAGCGGTCTATGCAGAAGAGTTTGCTCAGCCAGAGACTGAATTTAATGATTCGCGTAAGGCATTGGAAGGTCAGTGCCTTTCATTAAATGCCAGGCGTGTCGCCCATACTCTTTGACTCACGATATGATCCTTTCTAGCTGCAAAGTTGATTGTAAGCACGGATATCGGGCGTGACCCCATGCTCAAAAAGCATGTCCGTCAATTGTTTCGACAGCATGGTGTTGTCACTGTGACACCTACAGACGGTGGAATGTCGAAAATTACTGAGCTACATCCCTACTACGTACGCGCAGCGGTTCATTTGATTTGATATAGTCTTGATATACTGAGAAACTCTGCCGTTCTTATTTACAGGCTTTCAAATACTTAGGGCAGAAGCCGTTCTCTGGCCTCAAACAATCATCTCAGTATCTTCAGATTATGGCAGCTGAACAAGAGCTACTCGTCAATGTGCAAGTCCATCTGAATCCTGAAACGGACAACACCTTCAAGACCGAAATGATGAACACATACAAGTCTGATTTTACAAGCGAGTTGGCCACAAGTTGGAATGAGTTGAGAGAAGAAATCTTGTTGCATGCGATTGAACACATGTTGCTGCCGGACGCCGCAAGATGGGCAAAAAATTATCTCAAGGATGAAGCAGAGGAATATGTGGCCCAGCGATGTGCTGAAGAACTTGAAGAAGTAAGTACTTACATCACTCATCTCTGTAAAAATTGGTCTGCAGGATGGGGTGACCAGGATATGATTCAAATTTTGACCACTTTCTTTGTTAAAAGCGCATTGATGTCGCACCTTATCGACCGGCACATTTTTTGGACGACGGAGAGGTGCCATCAGTGGTAGCTATATCCAATGGGGCCGGAGATCCTCGACGTGACTCTACTTTTGTGATTTACCTGGACGACGCGGGAAGATTTCGTGACCACATGAAACTTGATAATCTGCGCGATCCAACCCCTCGACAAGATTTATCAGACTTTTTGCAAAAACGGACTCCCGATGTGATCGTTGTCGGGGGCTTTAGTGCCTCAACGAATAGGCTGTTGAACGATGTCAAGGCAGTCGCCCATGAATTGTCAGAAAAAATGAAAAATGAATTACAGTCATCTGGTGAAATGAATGATGAAGCATTAAGTCGTATGGGGTTTCCCGTCATCGTTGCTAGGGACGACACTGCAAGATTGTGTCAGCAGACTAAACTTGGTGAGGACGACTTTGGTGGGCTGCCTGCCATTGGAAGATACTGCATCGCTCTGGCAAGATACGTTCAGAGTCCGTTAAACGAATATGCCGCGGCTGGACAAGATATCACAGCAATTTCATTCCACCCTGACCAACAGTTTCTGCCCAAGGATCTTCTCCAAGTATACCTCGAGCGAGCTTTGGTCAATATAGTTAACTCCGTGGGTGTCGATATCAACCGTGCTGTCAACGATCACTATTATCAACATCTCCTTCAATACGTCTGTGGTCTTGGTCCCCGTAAGGCACAAAAGTTGATCAAGATGATCAACGCAAAATCCTCTGTTGTAAGTCTGTAAACATATCATTACCATGGCGTAATTCTTGCCTCAGTATAAGGATCCGCTGACAATATTTTCAGGAAGGTACTCTGATATCAAGGAACGAGTTGATAACGGAGGAACTGGTGACGAAGAACATATTTTACAACTGTGCTGGTTTCCTTAGAATCAAGCAGGGAGATCTGACTACGGCGCGAGAAACAGAACCGGATATCCTTGATGACACACGTATACATCCAGAAGATTACTATGTCGCGCGCAAAATGGCTGCTGATGCTCAAGAGCTAGACGAAGAGGACTTGGCCGAGCAGCCTCCGTCACAAGTCGTCAGTGATCTACTGGCAGCCGATTCAGGGAATGGAGCTGCGAAGTTGGATGATCTCAATCTGGACGACTTTGCGGTAGAGCTGCTAAGATTGTTGAACGTACGAAAGCGACTGACGTTGTATCAGATTCGTACGGAGCTTCAAAAGCCGTACGCGGAGAAGCGTTCCACTTTTGATGCATTGACGCCAGAGCAAATGTTCGACCTCTGGACAGGTGAAAACGAAGCCACCCTGTCGCGCGGTTCAGTGATCCCTGTGAAAATCACGAAGTCTCGCGATCGAGGTCTAACAGTCCGTCTCGATTCCGGAATTGAAGGTTTCATTGAACAGAGATACATGGTCGAAGAAGGAACTCCCGACATGAGCAAATTTCCGGTGGGATCTACTATACAAGCTCTAGTGATGGAAATTCACAAAGATCGGTTTATGGTTGAGCTCAATTCACAGCCAACGGCTGTGGCGGCAGCTGCAGGCCAACAAAAGAAAGTCAAGACCGATGATCACTTTGATGAGATTCAAATGCAGATGGATAAGGACCGCTTAGAATCCAGGAAGAAGATTGGCAGCCGTCGAACCCAACGAGTAATCAAACATCCTAACTTTCATAACTTCAACTCTGGTCAAGCTGAACAACATCTAGCGAACCAGCAGCGAGGTGACTGTGTGATTAGACCAAGTTCAAAGGGAACTGATCATCTGGCCGTTACATGGAAAGTTGACACTGGAGTTTATCAGCATATCGGTACGTTGAAGATCCACTATAAGCTTTCCGATCTCGTGAATTGATTGATCATATCTATGACATTTTTGTTGGTGTAACAGACGTTTTGGAATTGGACAAGCAGAATGAATTCTCTCTGGGCCGCACCTTGAAGATTGGAGGGCGATATTCCTATTCGGATTTAGATGAGCTGATCGTATCTCATGTGCGAGCAATGGCCAGAAAAGTCGAGGAGATGATCGCCCACGAAAGGTACAAATCCACCCCCGAAGAAATGTGTACGTGATCGATCACTTACATCCCTTACATGCTCGGGCTCGCTAGCTTCACGCTCTGTTCTCATTTCCCGCTCATGTGTTTTCTCCTTATCCAGCAAAGTATCTCAACACGTATTTGATGGCAAACCCCGATAGGTCCGTGTATGCATTCTGCATTGACAAGGATACGCCAGGTTGTTTTTTTCTCGGGTTCAAGGCCGATAAAAACACACCCATGCAGAAATGGGTGAGTCATTTTCTTTGTTCCAGCCTTGATTCACTCACCAATCCAATTGAATCCTCGACCTCTTCGTTGTTCAGACCGTCAAAGTGTCCCCGGGCGCATATGAATTAAATGGGACTCAAGCTGGTGACATGCTTTCGCTTTGCAATGCATTCAAGGTGCGCAGTCATTTCTAGCTGGACCGGGCCATCTTGAACTGACATATCCATTGTTCTTATTTCCTTCCAGACACAATACACCGCAAGATCCGCCCTTCCAGCAGGACAGGGCCGCGTAGACGTGTACGGACGCCAGACACCTATGCTCAATGGCCGAACACCGATCAACGGAGGTCGAACACCATTGATAGGAGGTAGAACTCCAATGCTTGGTAACCGGACGCCTCTCGCCACGCCTCGATACACCGGTACTCCTCAACACGCACCTCCGCCACCCGCACCCCAGACGATTTCTACACCGCGTTATTCAGGCGGCCTAACACCTGCGCCCCCGCCTCCGACCGGTAAAACTTCATCTACTTCTTATTTCGCTACATCGAGTTGGGTACTGATTCTATCCGTCATTTCGACATTCAGCTTGGAATCCCGGAACGCCGCATGCGGGGTATGCCCCTCCACCGCCACCAGGTCCTCCAAGAGCCGGCTACCCGATGAATCAAACCCCACTTCGATATCCTGGCCCTCTTCCTCCAGGCATGCCCCCGCCTCCACCACAGAGTAAGCTGTGCTGCTGATTGTCGCCGGAGGACAACGATTGAATCGAGTCTGATGAACTTTGTTCTTCTGCCATTGCTCTAGCTTGGGGACCTCCCCCTGCGCGTCAGCATTACCCCTAGAGTTGACCAGCGAATTTGGACGCCCAAGCATGACTAAGCAGGGATCTTTTCTCGAACCGATCTACGAATTATCGACAGTCAACTGGGCCGAGTATTGAATGCATGCTATGTAGTGTATCACATCACTCGAGATTTGCGTCCATGTGAGGTAGTCTCTTGCACTCATACTTGTTCAAGAAGGCGGTAGCTCAGTGGCTGTGTTGAGTGAAAGCCATATTGCCTGTGATAAAAAAATATGTATACCTGTATATTTTTTCTTCTTTTTTTCCGGTTTGTTAGTAGAGTGTATATGACTAGAAGTAATCAGAAATGGATCGAAGGTTAACGTTTTAGTGGAAAGTTCCAGATCACCCTACCGGTGAAGTGACATTTTGACCCTTTTTTGTTTGTGTTCGTGAATGCTTGAAGACGGCTGCTTCAAAAATATTTGAGTCCTTCATCCACTCTATATAGTAGCTGACAGATCTTTCTTCACTGTTTGTGCTGTACATATGAAAGCATAACTTCATAATAAAAAGTAACACAGTGAACTTCATTGTAAGAAGTTCAGGTGACCAATGATTCTGAACACGTGGCCTAATTGCAAACAATGTGAACAAAACCACTCAAGTGGACATCAGGGGATGTCAACCCTGAGGCATCAGCAGTGTTCTTTATTGTACTTACCCGAGGCGCTCTGAAAAGCACAAGAGGCTAAAATATTTGATACGCAATGATGAGACAAGACATATCTGGCTCTTGATCAATAAAGTGAAACTCAATGTTAACTCCAATGATGTTACCTAAAGAACCATCAAGACATTTTTCGAAGTTATGTTCGTTATTTGCAGAGAGATACAACCAACAACTAAACACACACACACAAAATTTGAAACTAATCAAGAATTGCAAGACACATTACATTGTTCTGACGATGAATGCTAAACTGATTGACAAGTTGAGCTGAAAACTAACCTAGCTTGTCCTTTTTGATGACCAACTAAATAATGCAAGGATTACATATATAAATCTCTGACGAACCACATCTTCCTACCAGCCTCCATGTCACAACATACCCAACAACGGAACCAATCTCCCTGCCAGTTTACAATTCCCGGATGACTCCATGCATCTTAATGTAGAACACGCTAGAAAGAAATCAACACCTTTCTTCATTTTGGATCATCTTTCATCTTACAGACAGATACATACGGACTCGCTATGCCTGATCATCAAGAAATATACAGGTGTCAAAAACGTATCGAAGAAACTTTTGACAGTAGAGAGAGGACTGACCAGTCAAGAATAATTTGTTCTCATAAACTGCTACACAGGTTGTCATACTCACCATATGACCATCATCCGCAAACACCTATATTACTCGTACCATATAAATCTATCAATTGGAGTTTGCTAGAGTGTCGTACAACGATATGCAAAACAAACCTTTTCAAGCTTCAACCTACCACCAAAGAATTTGTCCTGATCAGTTCCATTGGAAACCCTCCAAACTTCTGTTGATGAAACGCTTGATCCAGGTTTATCAAGTAATCGAGAAAAATCGTGTACTTTAGGAATCATTGCTAAGTAAACTGAACCTTTCTCGGTGACATAGATATTATCAATCGGTCTTGGCATCTATCAGACGGATCATAAATAGGTTAGTCAGATAGAGATAGTAGTATATAGAAGGGAATCATCTACCTTTAATTCATCCGTTAGGACGAGAGTGTGATCACCTTGAGCGTCGAACAGTCTTAGACGCGGATCCAAGCTAGTACCCATGTAAATCATCTGCTCAGGTCCCTGTGATGTTTGTCAGGATCAGTTCAAGAGGTCTGCATGTGATGAGAAGAGACAAAAATTGACGAACCTTGGCTATTCCATTAGCATAAGCATGACCATGGACTGCGACTGTACAATCAGGCGAGTTTGGACTATTCAAAGAACAATGGACAATACTATTACTCTGAGGATACGTATTTCGTCAATGCCGAGTATTGGGATCTAAGCATGTGAAAAAATAAACCAATGAAATGTGTACTTACATCATGATCTAGGAGAAATGGCTAAATGATTTTGATTTTTGTTCATGCAGGAATTTAAAAGACAGAGTTGATGCGAGATTCTCAATTGATCGATTTTTTTTCTCAAATGCTGAGAATTTGAAATACAAAAACTTACCTCAAGCGCTCTTTTCTAGTATTTGTAAAGTTGCGAAATCGATTTGAATGTCAATCAAAACTTGAAAAAATGAGATACTTGGTGTGATACTCACCCAACCGACTTTTTTTCCATGATCATTAGAGACGTAAAATGAATTTGAACTCATTGCCACGAGATTATTAGGACATAAGATCAATGGATGAGCAACAGTCATCTGATATTCAGCTTCATTGCTTCCAATCTTTGTTTTAAAAACTTCTATCACACTTTGAGCGCCTAAAGATGAAGCTTGTTCTATACGATCGGGTGGATTATGATTAATCATATAAAGTGTTGCACTTGATTGATCTTCTGATTCTTTAGAGTAAGATTCAACATATAAATCTAGACCGTGAGTATGAAGTCCATGCTTGAGAATATGCGCTGGAAGGTTTGTAAGAGTAAGTTTTCTATGAACGTGGGTTTTTAAATCGAGGATTGCAACGTAATCTAAAGAAGGAACAGGCATTCGATCTCGACTGAGGAATAATATGATTGAATGTCATTAGGAATGAATTAGCTGATCGATCAAGATGACCAAACTTGAAGAGGGATCAATAGGATGACTGACTTTAAGTTAGACATAGCAGGTGTCCAATGAGCTCGATCGATCACTCGACTGCAAGCCAAGTAAGCTAATCCGGATGGCTGATGGACATAGATATCCTCACATGCTTCAAGTCCCTCGATCTTCTCACATTCATCATTGTTGAAGTTTTGAACCGTTCTGAAGAAGCCTAAAAAGAAAGAAAATGATAATTGAGTGAAATGCTTCACAGAAGATCAAGATATTCATTGAAAATATGATGAATGAACTCACCTAACTCATCAATACGAGGTTTCAAGAAAGCTCTAAACAGAGCAGATAAGATGGCAGTGACTCCAAGAATGATACTAGCAGTTTGTACCATTATTCTAGATTTCTGAAGTGGTGAATATTAAAATTCAAAATGATATATTTGAACTCTCATCAAATAACAAACCGAGATAAAGTTCTTTGTCCATCCTGAAAATTAATACAGTCGTATTCAAAAACCTTGTCACAAATTCACTTCGATTTTGTATGCAAATTTGGACAAGCTTTGTGCAAATGACTGTATCAAAAGAATTGAACTGTTTTTAGGAGTAAGCTATTTGTAGTGTAAGCTAAAAGAAAACAAACATGATCTCGTGAGGGGAGTTGAGAAGATATTCGAGTTTCAAGCCAAAATACTTCACCCTTGTATCTTATAACCCCATCTAGCCAATACGATTCTCTGGTAGTTTTTGATGAAATCTTTAAACACACAAATCCATTGATAATGGCATTCCAGATTCATGAAGCAGGTAGCAAGAGTTTCCTCAAAAGTGACATCCAGGAGCTGCTTATGCAGAATAGGGACTTCTGGATGAATATGCACTTATAAGACAAAGGATCCAGGACTTAAAAAGGCTGACACATCACTTAATTAGATACCTACCGCAACTCATCGACTGCTTGTCAAGGTACTACTATGTACTTGCTCTCAAATAAATTCACACAATTATACCCTATTGAAGAGACGATCAAAATGCTTGAATTTTACTATAGCAAACTAAACTTCAGATTCAGTGACAATATGCCTGCCTTTAGCTCATCAAAGCGCAAATTCCAAGGCGATGAAATTACTCAGCAAAGTAGCGCTGTACCATGTGGGTCATGTCAGGGAATGTCTGGATTGGGTTTGAATGCGGTCCTCTGAGTCTCGACCATTTCTTACCTTCCCACTTTGACTCGGCGGAGATACAATCAAACCGGAAAAGCTTGCCACCAATTCCCCGCCAATTTACTCGAGTTTTGCGGGCAAAATCGGTCAAGCTTTTCCGGTTTGACTGTATATCTTCAGCGTGTTTTCTCGTACAAAAGAGAAAGCCTGTCAATCTTTATCGCCACTGCAGGTAGAGAAATTATAAAACCATTCAGAGAAGCGGGCCTCTCTTCACTCACTCCCTTCAGTCTCTCCTTAATCGATATCCATCATTTTCACAACTTCCGAATGGCAACATACACACAGACATCCTTGCTGGATTTTGTCCTTAAACTATCACCTGGCGATGGAGTTAACCCATATTCTCAGACAGAACAACATCTCCAAGATATGCTTGAAGTACGTATGACGAAGACAGGCTGAGCTATTCTGTGGCCGTTCTTGAGCTCATCTTCTCCTGCTCTTTTCTACTATACAGCCTCCTCCTATGCCCTCATGGAGTAGATTGATTCAGCGTATTATCATAGCAATCTATGTACTGTGAGTATGCCTAACATCCAAGGAGCTAGTCTAAGTCTCTGAAAATAGGTGTACATCTTTTGTTGCGATTCTCTCAAAAGGATCTTTCTTCAATCATCTTTCCTCCTTTTTTGGCGGATCAAGACGAATAGATTTCTCCTCATCGGATTGAATGCTATGGGTTTGATCAAGTTTGACTGTACGAGCATGTGTTCTTTGGTGGCAACCATTTATAGCTCAGGTTAGTCAGAAGGATTTATTTTTACCTATGTTTGACGGCGAGTCTCATTCCTTGCATGCTCTCACCCTAGTGGCAATCACGGACTTGGTTTGGAAAGAGACCATAATGGACGGTTACCATGACCAATCCTGGCAGCTTATTCTATTTGGCTGCAAGTTTATTGTGGTGATGACTGGTTCCTGGTAAGTGTTCTTTAAAACATTTTGTTATTGAATGTGAGACTAACTTTATCATTTTGTAACTAATCAAGGTGTGAGTGATACAATACATTTGTTCATTGAAACGACTCTTGATTTGATGAAAACAAACGCGTTTCGTAGGCTTTCTGTGGGTCTGCATTGGGCATTGGCTACTCCAGAAAGCCAGAAATTCACACCGGGAGCTCGACAGATTCATACCGCCAGCCGTTGCTTGGTTAATGAACGGGACATTCATATTATTGGCTATAACTCCAAATGGTCAGCTTTTGTTTCAGCTTTGACTCTCTCATAGAACCTCCTAACTTTGTATTTAATCTGATCATGTACATATTTTATCAGCTCCCATCATATGGGGATTCATCCGGATCAATTCAGAATATTTGGCCATCAAGACAGCCTTAGCTCCAATCATGAATAATCTCCTACGTTCAGCTATCGATTATTCCCCAAACACTTACAGTCAAGCAATGTTGATAGCTCAATTACTTCCTGCTCAGGCCGCCCTCCCACACTTGGTTAGCCGCGTTCTGCATCTAAACATCACTGATTTTTTACAATTAACAATTTGAGAAATGTATCCAATGAAATAGGACAACATCCAGGAATACCTTCGGGTCCCAATGGCCTGTTATTTGAGCAGTGTCGTAATACTATCCGTGGTAGGTCCTGATTGACTCGCATGTTGTTGAGATTACTCGGAACCCTGATTACACCTGTGATACTAGGCATACCTTCAATTCCTTTACCAATTAGTCAAGGAGTCGCGTAAATTTCGTATCATAGCGGAAGTTGAGAGAGAAGAAGAGACTAAGTCTTATTTGGACGATGAAGCTGATCGGATAAGATACTTGAACAATAGAATTCGACAGCAACACGACGCAGTGCTACAACATGTTGTGATGACATACATTTCAACAATAGTTTTTATTCCAGTGCTCATTTGGATGGTAAATCAACCTCTTTGAGAAATCTATCTACAACTGATGATCAAAATATGCTGATATTGATCTGACTTTTGATCCTTAGTTCATCGGCTCATTTCAAGATGCATATATAGTCAAGCCGCATTGGTGGAACATTGCTTTGATTGTGAGGAAATTGATCTTTGAATCTCAGTGTTTGACCCAAGTGTACTGATTTTGAGCTCCAGGGGTTGCATGGTCCCTATGCGGTTGTAACTTCCATGTGAGTTTCAACTTCCACCTAACTGATCCTAATTATATTCTGATCACTTTATCATACTTCCTTGTAGCTCTTTGTTCCTATTGCAGAAGACCACGTCCTGAGTTTAGGCGAACCTTTCAGTACGTATCAGGATATCAAAGGAGTATGTTTTCACCCCATGATGTTGAAGAACGTTTGATTACAAACCTTAAGCTGTGAAAATTTCACATCTCCCCTTTCTTATAAACTGAATCCAATCTCTTCACATTCATTTTTAAATTATAAGACCTGGTTGATCCAATTATTTGACTTGTCAACTTAATCCTCATATTTTATGGTTCCTATTTTATTCTTTAATCACTCAAGTCTTGTTCTTGTTGATGAATCCATATCCGTATGAAGTAATTTAATCTTTTTACAAACTACAAAAGCACAAATTTCAGCAGGGATTTGAAGTTCAATTATAAGACAAAGCTGAAATCATGATCATATTGAAGTCGGATTTTTCTCTCTCTTACAATAGTTACCATCCTACTATTCCACTTTCAGCCTGTTACTTTTCATTCTATTTTATTCTTTTGCTTCCATCCCAATTAGGCTATGTTCCAACTACTCCCAATGCGGTGAATGAGACTCACAATAACTTGTGCTCGATTAACCTATGTCTAGAAATAACCAATGTATAAAGAGTTGTGTTTGTGTGCGCTTATTAAGGGGTTTCAAGTTTAATTTTTTTTATATGATGTTGTAAAAATTCAGTAAATCTTTATACAACTCCGTAAAATTTAAATTTTGACCATTTGTAGAAAAACATATGTTGTATGATGGTGGTCATAAAAAGAAACTTGGATGTTTCAATTACCCGAGCCTTTGATGACTGGAGGTTGTAATGAAAATATATAGAAACAGCCTGTTGACCAAGAAAATCTCTTTGAATCCATGTCCAACTGACCTTGTTCAAGGTTTCAAAAAGAATCAAAAGAATAAATCTTAACTTGCTTTCCAGATGGTTTGAACCTCACAAAGAAAAAAAAACATTAGAACTGCTGAAAAGCTTCTTCAAATAGCCGAAGAAGACGAGGATGATCAAATGATCAAAGAAGAGATGCTTGGTGAACGAATCCTTCCAACAATTGGTGATATTCTGTTTGATGACAATGACAAGATGGCCTTCTTGACCGATCTCCTATTCAATGATGTCGACCATGCCGAGGATCTCTTGGAAATCCTGGAAAACCTTCATTTTCACGATGCACGTTGGAAGATGCCATTCGAAATGGACTTCAGTTTTAATGACTTACTTCGTGATTGAGAAGTAGAGTTTCAACAATCAATGAGGACTCCTTACACTGGCTTCTACACCATTCTTGAAGTCATCCAAGGTCATGAGATCTTCATATTGAGTAGTCAAAACCCACAGCCTGCAGTTATCATCCAACTCACTCTCACTTATGAGCGCCTTGGAAGCAACGGTAATGGTTGTTCTGTACGGCGCCTTGGTAGGGATTATAAGCGGTCAATGTGAGCTATTGTCAACTGTACTCGACACGTTCTCACCGCCGTTGATGAGCTTTGTAGTCATTATATTCAATGGCCTAGTGAAGAAAGGCAAGAAGAGATATCCACTGTGATGTCTCTTGAAGGATTTCCGGGATGTGTTGGTTTTGTTGATGGAACCAACATCCCTCTGTATCAATGACCAGGTCTCAATGGCAAGACTTTTTTTATTGAAAGAAACATTACTCTCTCAATTGCCAAGTGGTGTGTGATTGTGATTGTCAAATCATTGCTCTCCACAGTGGATGGCCTGGTTCATGTCACAATCAAAAAGTTTTTTCCACCATGTTGCTCTCTGAGGATCCAGAGCTTTACTTTTATGATGGTAAGTTTTCTCTCTTCTTTTTTATATTCAAATCCACTAACATTTGTATTAGTATTACCATTCAAGATGAATACTTATTGGCTGACTCGGCATACAAAATCACCAACACAGTGGTATCAACTTACAAGGCACCAGCATCGAGGATGGAGAGAAACTCTTTGTTCAATACACTGGTGGCTAAGGCCCGGATTTGAAATGAACATAGTATTGGCATGTGGAAAGAGCGATTTGCTGCCCTTCAAGCATTGCGATTAAGACTTGATCAAGTTGACAATATGCCATTTATATTGATGTGGATCAAAGTGTGTGCTATCTTGAGCAATATGCTTGCCGACTTAAGGGATCAGTGGGAGGAGGAATTCAAAGACAACTATTTACATGGTAATTACAGATTGGCTGCTGGTCACGAGATGGCAGTAGATCCTACTGATCCAATTGGAGTTCTCCGTCAAGAACTTGTAAGGGACTATGCTGTTTCTTTTGATGAATATTTATAAGACTGTCATAGTCTTTTTTAATTCTCACCTCAATCCCTCTGAGATGATCATGTACACAATAGAAAACTAGTTAACATTTCAATTTCAATTAAAATTTTGATTTTCAAAATAAAAGTCTGATACAAGGATAAATAAATATATTCTTAAAAATATAAAATCATAATAGATGTTTGTAACTACATTTGGGTCAGCTCAAGCAATAAATTCATTTTTCAAATAACAAATCCATATAGACTTTCATCTCCGGAACAGACATGTTCTTTGCTTGAAATGATTCCATAACCTCCCGGCAAGTCTTGATTCTCTCTGCTTCCACTCAAGCCTCTTCAACTTTAATCAATCTTGCATCTTCCTTGTCCAGCTTCTCCCTTTCCCAGTTAATATTCTTATCAGCCAACTCACTTGCAATCTGAGATTTTAAGGTCTCTGCTTTCTCAGCCGCTTCCCGTTCGGTTTGATACTTTTGTTTGTCCCAGGTCAAAGTGTCTTCAGCTATCTTTGATTGAGATTTAATTAGATTGCTCCCAGATTTCTTTTTTTCCTCTGTCTTTCTATCAAAATATCTGAAAAGTTTTTCATCGCGACCATTGACCATTGCAGCTATTGGTGCCTTGTTACGGCCTGGATTAGCATCAACAGAAGGTAAGGGTTTCATTGGTCTATTTGCAATTGTTTCAGCGCCTTGCTTGCTCTTTGTGGGTGTCCTGGTAGCCTTTCTGATCAATTGAGCTCCATCCTCATTGGCTGATACAGGATCGGGTAGGTCAGGAGTTGGTGATTTGGGTTCAGGTAGGTCAGAAGTCGAGTACCAAAGGTCACTGTCATGAGCAGGTGATGATTGTTTGCTTTCAGGAGTTGGTGATCAAATTCCAATACCTGAACCCTGTGATAAATCTATATCATCATTGTTGTCCTTCAAGTTGAAGTTGACAGTATTTCGAGTAGGAGGTGGAGCTTGGCAAGGTGAGAGAGGTTCATGATGGTATTCAGGCGGGATTTCAAAGTCTTTTGGGTCATAATGAAACTGAGTATCCAACATTGGATCAATCATTGGATTTTCAATTTCATCTGGAGGATCCAGAGCAGAGATTGAAAGCTTATTTGATCGTGCTGTATCAAGGATCACATGCGGACTGACATTTGCTTTGTGACCAATAATTTCATGAATAACACTAAATCTTGGGCACATGTATTCTTTTTTCTTCTCAGTTGTATCAAGACCTTTAATGATATCTTTATCTAGGAGACCTGTGTTGGATTTATTTGTGCTTCAAATGTCTTACTACATATTTAATGTATTTCTCATAAATGTATTTCTGATCTTGTCCATTTTTGTTGTTCTCAATTTGACTACACACAGTGCCCGTGGAGAAGGCCCCCGACGTCAGGGGCCCAAAGCTCTTGCGCAAAAGTATCAAAAAAACTGTGAAATTTCTGTCCAGGCCAAATTGGAACACTGAGCCTGCCCAGATTTCCCATCCCCAGCAGCCAGACTCAGGAATTGACCTCAGGAGCACTGAGCCATCATCCAACTTCATCAACAGTGATGAGCTGCGCTGAGCGGTCCTGCCCTGATTGTATGGCCCATGCGGGATCTGTCAAGATATATGCTCAAGGCCACCACGGGGCAATGTTGCTGAATGTCCCGAATCAAATTCGGAATGACCGTAGGTAGAAACAGTGAGATCAAAAAAGTTATCTCATCAAGCCAATCCATCAACTTCATCAAATCAAATCAATCATCATTCAATTGGTTCATTACATCTTACTACTCATCATCTCATTTGGAAACCATCTGATAATCAATCAATTCAATCGATTGAGCCAAATATGATGAAGTTTGCGTGAGTTAATCTTAATCACTCCTATCATCATATCATCATAATCATCTAATACTGATCATTGAATATCTATATCATAGTTTACACATGCAATTATCGCCACCGTTCAATATCTTCCATCTCAACCAGAACCAACTATCTTGATCCGTTTAGTTAACTTTATCACTTATACTTTTACTTTCAATTCTCAATCTCAACTTGAACAAGATTGGAATTCAATCACAGCTTCAGTTCATTATTTTAAACAAGGAGATAAATTATCTAATTATGCTTTTCTATATGGATCAAAATCGGATTCAAATTCAACTTCAACTTCAGATTCAAATCTCATTCATTGGGTTGGAATCTTCATGATCTGATTTGTGAATTCACTAGGATGAATTCCCTAGGTGACCAAAAGGCTTGGAGAATCACTTCAATAAACAATTACTTTAGTGTAAGTCTTTTATTCAAAAAAATGAACCTGGCCTTGAAATCTAGGTTTGAAAATGCTGATTGTTTACCTTCATTTGTTGGTTCGGATTTGTAGTTCTGTTCAACCTATCCGCAATTATTACTGGTGCCAGCAAAGCTCAGTGACACTACATTATCATATGCAGTCAAATATTAAAGTAAAGGTCAACTACCGATTGGAACTTATGTTCATTGGGTTAATGGGGTATGTCTTTCAATATCACTTCCAAGCTTCCTCCAATACACATACCTCACTCTAAATACTTTCTTGTGACACTATCAAGTCATCAATCACTCAATCTAGTCGACCGATGATCAGCTTCAAAAATACAAGATTGATTCAAGACAATAAACTGATTGAAGAAACATTGGACCAAGTCATCCTATTCCGCTCACCATCTTGTCAGTAATGTTTATTCATCAACATTCCCAAATCAAAAAGCTCTTGAAAGCTTACCAATTCTTTTAACAGTCGCTTGCATGATACACAGCAATAATCTTCATCTAAAGACTTGACTCACTTCGCAGTCAAAGTCATGGCCAACACACATAGAATTTTGAACATGATTTCAAGTAAAGTTGTCACTGTGGTTGTTGATCAGAACTTTGCATCAAAGATTGTCCATTGTGTTTCTTGAACTTTCTGGGGAGTTTCCCAGCACAGTTTTCACTTATAATACTTTTCTTCTTGATTCTTGATCAACTTCACCATTTTCATAGGTTGATTACAACCTGTATACCCTCGGCTTTCTGATTTTGCTCATAATTGTGATTTCACTTTTAATTTTATTTATAATTTTTAGTTTCTTTGATTTGGTTCAATCGAAATTATCAGAATCTAATATCTCTTTACAATTTGGTTGTTCTTCAAGGATGTTTTACTCAAATCAAGTTGAGTTTCTCGCCAGTTCCTTTTTTTCAGATTAAAATTGACGTCTGTCTTTTCTTTCGTTTGAATTACATAGTTACTTTCATTCCATTATATATTACCTTCTATACTTTTCATATTAGACTGGTCAAATCAATTAAATGTCTTATGGTATACTATGATTGGGTTAAGTTGTTTACCTATCTTTTGGTAAATTTGTGAAGTTGGATAATTTTTAAAGATCAACAAATTCCTCAATCAGTTAAATGAATTTTCATTCTTCTATTAAATCTTGAAATGAGGATAGCTGACTTGTTGACTGATTTGTTCTTTTTTTGCGTAGATCTGGAGGTTTTTATAAGAAACTTTTTGAAACTTCTTATTTTAGTTCTCTGTATAATTCTCATGATTCAGTTTGGTTAATGATTATTAATTTCCTAGTGTAAGGTATGTATATAAACATATCCTAGATTATATATATTCATTGGATGTTATTTCTGTTTAGTTTGATTTTCACCTTTTTTGTTTTGGGTTTTATGAGGCTTGTGTTCATAAATGATGTATACCTGTTCACATAGATTTTTATTGACGTAGAAGCGCAAGTCGTGTTTGAGCTGCTTGAAATTGAAATCACTAGAATTGAATATTTTGAAACAAAAGTCGTGTGTTTAAGGCATGGTGTTTGATGAGATGTATGTATGGACTCAGGCAGATTTGAGTTGGAGTTCAATCAAATGTTTTTCATGGCTCAATCCAAATTAACCAACCAACCAACCAACCAACCAACCACCAACACTACCACTTAGAACTACCAACAAGAACAATGATCAAGTCAACTCAGTATGTGTGGTTCACAACAACAATCAAACACGTTAGGATTCTATATCTAATTAATCTGACTTCGACTTGAATCTAATCCTTTTTCAAAAATATCAAAGTCAATCATTCTTTAGTGGGATTTCACTATTTGGTGGTTCAACCAGTTCAGTCTGAAGTCAATAATCCATAATCAAACTCACAAGAAAAACGCGAAAAACAAACTAAAGCTTTAGCATTGACTTTATTCTTCTTAGATTCACCAGGAGGATTATTCAGTCATATTGATTCTGCTCCTGAGCAGTCAAAAATAGCTCTACTGATGATTCAAAGACTCGATCTTAGGTACCAACTACAAGATGTAATTCTAGAGAGTGATAATCAATTGCCACCCAAGATCGAGCCCATTGTGGAGCAACCACCAACGGGCTCTTTAACTTTTTGAGTGGGTACAAAGGCTGATCCATCAGGATTCACCATCCTTGAACGATCAGTGATGGAGTCTTGTTTGATCAAATTAGTAATGTCGAGTTCAGAATAAGTGGTACTTGCAGGGTGAGGGAGATCATCTGCTTTGTTACTATCAATGCGTGTTAAAAGCGGAGCCGTTGGGATTGGAGTAGGTTGCCAAGCTTCTGATACATCGGTAGAGGAAGCACCGAAAAGAGACACAATTTGTGCGCTGCCTCCTCCTACATATACAAAATTATTCAAATCAGGCTGGATCCTCGTAGCAATTGTGATGAACACAAATCAACGGCGGATGATACCTACCTGGTTGTTCTCGCACTTTGTGCGTCGGGATGAAAGCAGGTAAACCTGATTGTGGCTCTGTCCTAGTTTCCGTGGGTGGTGGTTGAGAAGAGGTGGTGCTGAAGCTTGCATGCTTCGGTAAATCCTTCAACTATTGGTTGAGCCATTCGAAGTTCAAACAACATAAACCAGAGGTCTGTCAATTCAAAAAGGATGTGCGCTGGAATCAAGAATGGAATCGTTTGCAAGGAGGTCTCAATGGAGATGTCGCGAGACCAAACCTGAGTCAAGTTGGTGTCCACTTCAACCTCCAACTGTTTCAAGAATCTCACCAAAGATTCCTTAGTAAACCCAATCGAGGTTGACCATGGTAAAAGACATTTGATATGAAGTAAAGCCCGACTTGTTAGCAAGACTTCATGATTACAATCAAAATCATCGAGCTTGAAAGTTCATTATTTGAGTGCAATCGAATGGATGAGCATTTTTTTGACCATGCGCTGTTTGGATTGAGTTATTGGTCAAACAGGCTGTGGTAAATCAACTCAATTGACTCAATTCTTATAATCAAGCTGGTTAGTTTTCCCAAAATTGAAAAATAGCTTCTACTCAACCTCGTAGAATAGCTGTTATTGATTTGCCTCAAAGATTGGCTGAGGAAATGGGTGAAGTTTTGGGTGATTTAGTGGGCTATTATAAAGTTGTGTTGGGACGAGTGAGCTGGCTTGCCAATAGGGAACGGTGAGGGTAACTAGCTTTTCTCAGGGCAAAGATAGTCCATAGGGAGCTTCCAGGTGTTCAGTAGGGAACACTGCACGTTCAGTCAGTAATACTGAGCGTTGAGGGCTGCTTGTCTCCTACTCTGCGTGAGCCTTGACTCAGACTGATGAAGTTCAGCTGAGGTGATGTTCATGCAATCTTTGCCCTTTGTGTACATTTGTAGACCTTTGTGACACAAAAATCACACAAACGCAACACACTTGCGAAGACTGTTGGGCCCCCGACGTCGGGGGCCTTCTCCACGGGCACTGTGACATTACATCATATAGCCCAATCAGGAACATTACGTCAATGGTCTTGTGACGTCATTCATTACAATTTCATTTTTGTGTTTTCTTTATAACCTGATGTTGAACACCAGTCTGACAGTTTTCTTTTCTCATCTGACTGTTTCTTTACAAAATCTTACCATAAGATTTTCGTGTCTGTTTCTTCTCATCTTATACTAAGATTTTGTTTTTGTGTTTGGATTCAGTCCAACAGGTTATGAGGGCCTAACGAATCTTGTTCAATCTCGATATCAATTAATTTTTTTTTTCATCTTCGTAATTCGAGTCAGCAATAATGGAATCTACGTCTGCACCAGATTCCTCCGTCAAAGGCAAGGAAGTTGCACCAGCAAAGCCAAAAGAACGGTCCACTCCTCCTACAAACTTTGATGACTTGTTTTTGGTTGGT